GTAGCTTCTTGAGATCGTTGTGAGAACCAAATAAGGTAATGCATGTAAAAATATGTTGTGGATTTTACTCAGTGCTCTCTCTATATAGTTGTTTTAAAAAGTACATATATAAATGCAGGAAGTTTCATTTTGCAGTTCAGAGGGGGAAAAACAAAGTGAGTTCATGTGAGTTCATGCTGTGACAGCTGGTGGGGATATTTGCCATGAGGCAATAGTTGGAGAGAAAGGTCATTCTTGTTTACGTACTCATTGTTGAATCCTAAAAATCATAAAATGATACAAATAGGAAAGAATATCTAGTAAGAAATGATAACATTTCATTAATTTTTCTGTAAGATATGGTACTTGATTCTCTCTTGATAATATTTTGAAAACAGGAAGTTTCCTTTTAAGTTAGCATGCTACTCATAATAATATGAACTTCAAATATTATAGAAATCATTTTCAACTGTCATAGTTTCTGGTAGTATTATTCTTTTAATGCTGATTGCAGAGCCTTGGCATTGAGTTACATTACCTCTGGGGAAAACTGTTTTTAGAGGCGTCTTCCCCTAAAACTCCTGCACTGTTCCTATGCTGATCTCTTCTTAATGGATGTCGAGCTACTGCTCATTCTTTTATCTGTATCAGATTTGTTCACACACAATGTGACTAGATGGATTCCTGTTTATACTGACATACTTTTTTACTGGGAAATTATAATAAAAAGTTACTTGTCTTGGATTTGAATTCCAAATCTATCCAAGAATAATATAATTAATTTAGACAAAAGCAACCCCCTTTCCCCAGTTCTTGGGGTTTTGGTATGTTAAATTAGCTGTTAATATTTTCTTTTTATTGAGTGTTTTAGAATTTGGATTAATCACAGAAATAAAAATACTGAAAAAAGATTCTCTCTTTAAAAAATTGAGTGGCTTGCTACTCTGAAAGTAGAGACAAATAGACTGTTAATTTTCTTGCTAACATTGGCTTAAATTTTTGGCCTCCTATCTTATCTACCTAGTGGTTGTGATAGGAAAGTTTCAGGAAGAGCCTGCCAAATAAAGGGATGGCCTTTCTTGGGCAGAAAGAACTCCCTAATTGGAACATCTCCAGGATGTGTTACTCCATCATTACAGCAAGGAAATCCCAAGAGAGACTTTTCCTTTAATCCATTTCTGTCAGTAATTCTTTTCCTTGGATCTAGAATGAAGGAATAGAGGTTTGTGGAATGTATCTTAGAGATATTTAGGTAGCCTCATATTCTGGAAATCAGCATATTAAATAATAGACTAAGGTTAGGAAACCATTAGGAAAAATCATTAATTTTGGTTATTATTTTCTTATGACTAATGACTGCTTAATGAGCTTTGGGATGTTAGGCGAGATAACTTTTCTAAATTCTGTGACCTTATCTTTAAAATAGGGTCAATGAAGCCAGGCTTGATGGTGCATGCCTATAATCCCAGTGGCTTGGGAAGTTGAGGCAGAAGGATTGCAAGTTCAAAGTCAGCCTCAGCAACTCAGTGAGACCTTAAGCAACTTAGCAAGACCCTGTTTCTAAATAAAAAATATAAAAGGGTTGGGGATGTGGCTCAGTGTTTAAGCACCCCTGGGTCAATCACTGGTATCAAATAAATAAATAAATAAATAAATAAAATAGGGTTGTTGACCTGGGTGTGATAGCACATGCCTGTAATCCCAGCAACTCATGAGGCTGAGGCAGGAGGTGGAAAATTTGAAGCCAGCCTCAGCAAATTAGTGAGGCCCTAAGCAACTTAGTGAAACCCTGTCTCAAAATAAAAAGAGATGGGACTGTAGCTCAGTGGTGGAGCACTGGATTTAATCACCAGTACTGAAGGGAAAAAAAGTTTGTGATAGTACCAATCTCAGATGTTAGCCATGAAAACTAAGACAGAGTGCAGTGATGGGAGTTCTTAGTTATAAACTCTAGAATCTGGTTCTAATTCTAGGACCCAGATTAAGGGTCTTAAACTTAAGCATAAGAATTTGGAGTGAAAAGATGAAATCTCCAAATGAGTCAAAACTTTGATTCAGCTAATCTGGGGAGGACTTTTGCATTTCTTCTGAGTATTAGACATCACAGCTTGAATTGCTTTCTCTGGGCTATTACTGACACCACTGTCTTTGAAGCTGATTATTACTGCTATTGCTTCTCAAAATCATTCTTCTCTGTCCTTGATTCTTTGCAACACTTGCTCCTTATTTGAATCTCAGGCAGATAATTCTGGGTCATTTAGCCATACCTTGCTGCAGGGAGCTTGGAAAGGGAAGTTCATGATATTATCAGCATTTACAAGAGCGGATTCACCATGAAGGTGTTGAAAACAGGCAATTCCCTGTTCAGAGCTGGGCGACTCAAAAACTGATAATTTGCTACTTTTTAAAAAATGCTTAGGGCTATGCCCCATGTGTGGTAAGTGTTCAGTAAATGTTGGCTTTTATTAATTTATAGTTGCCAATCTTTATTTTTAAAAAAGGGTTGGGAAAATTTCTACTTCCAGATTTTATTTTTGAAGAAAATGAATTGGTACTACTAGAGCAATAAAAGTAAATGGGTGAAATAACTTCTAAGCTTAGAATTTACATGATAATCATATTAAATTCAATAGTTAGTTTCCTCCTAACTTTGGAAGTAACTAAAGGATGAAGTAAGTAAAGGGTAATTTTAGGTAAATTATGGGCTCTTTAGCCAAAATGCATATGCAATTAGTAATACACATTGTGACTTCCTTGCTGTGCTTTATTTCACCCTTCCACCTTGGTTTCCCATTTACAAGAGTGGTTGGTAATAAAATAATTAGAAAGTCCTGGTGTTAGTGTCAGAAAACCTGGATTTGAGTTTCACTTCTACCAGCACTATGATCTGGGATGGGTTACTTAGTCTCTAAGACTGTTTCTTCTGTGTGTGAGTGTGGAATAAACACTATTTCAAGAATGTTGTTAAGGCAATAAATGAAACTATGTGAAAATATCCAACATGGTGAATACTGCTCAGTAATTACAACTTTTATTTTTCATGGTACTGGGAATCGAACCCAGTGCCTCCTCATGCATGCTGAGCAAGCACTGTACAACTTAGCTACATCTCCAGTCCTTTTTATTTTTTGAGACAGTCTCCTTAAATTGCCCAAGTTGTCCTTGAATTTTTAATCCTCCTGCCTCATACCCCTGAGTAGCTGATTACAGTATGTACCACCATACCCCACTAAATACTCCTTTTAAAACAAAAGCCTGCCCTCAGAATTTTAGAAGATGGGGTCTTAAATTTCTTTGAACAAGTGGGAGAAATCTGTAACAAACAGGTAAATATTTAAACCAGTGTAATTTAGGGCAGCACTTTCATTTTGACTATTAAGTCAAAATGTCTTTATAATACTAAGACCTTATTTGTCTTTTTCACTTTCATTCTCCCATGAATGGGGTTGCCAGAGGCCATATGATATGTAATATCACAACAGATTAAGCAGAAGCAAATTTAGTCTCATATTAAAGAGCTTTGCAGAAAATGTAAAATAATACCATTCTTTTCACTAATTTTTTCATCTGTTTTGGAAAATTTAGGTTTTTTTTAAAAAGTGATTTGTTAACATGCAGCCATGTTTATTATTATTTTAAAAAATTATTAATAAATAAATTTAAATTCCTGTTTTATGTTTTGGCAACTACTGAAAGATACCTTCCTTTTTGAAAAGCTTTTCAAGGACTTTAGTAATTTCTAAGGGTAAAAAGGGAAACTGAAACCAAAAAGTTTAAGAACTACTATGTTAGATGTGCTGTTTTCCATACGAGAAAGACATGTTTGATTAATTTGTTGGAAGTATTTCAGTGAACTTTTACTTATTTAAGTGTTTAGGCCTGGAAAAATTTTCAAAACCCTTTAAGTTAAGCCTAATAAAATTACACACACTATATATATGTGGGGGATTAAGGGCATGAATTGTTAGGGACATAGAATTTATATAGAAATAGATAATTTAAAGGGAGTAATTTTGGATGAAGAGATATGATCTGTCAGTTTGATTTATACATTGAAAAGATAATTGGGAGAATCATGGTCAAGTGGAAAGATCACTGGACCAGGAGAAAGAACTCCCTGGGTTCCGTTCTATCCCTGGTTCCTTGGTTTATTAAATGTGTTTGTGGGTAAGTGTATAGGATGTCCATTCTTCAAATCAAAAATTAGAGTAAATTCCTGCCTTACTGTTTCTTTTGTTCATTTAACAAATGCTTATTGATTATTTACTATGTTCTAGATTTTATTCTAAGTTACTACAAACATAGTGATAAAATAGGCAAGGTCCTTGTCTTAAGCAGACAGCAGTTTAATGATTAACAAGTAAATGGATAGGGATAAACAAGTAATGAATATACAAATAATTATAAATTGTATTAAGGACTATGAAGGAATCAAATAGTGAGAGGAAAATGCTACAAGCTTACTTACACAGAACTAACAGGGAGGCTTCTCTGATATAATGTTTAAGTAATCAGATGGATGAGACAGAGTAAAGGGAATTTTCAGCAAAGAGACAGACCTCTGTGTGCAAATCCCCAAGATGTGCCTGGAGTGTGGTAGATGTTAGGAATGGTAGAAGAAAATGAGGTTGAAAAAGTACCTAATGTCTAGGTCATGTAAAGCCTTACAGGCTCTGGAAGGAAGTCTACAGTTTTGATGTCTGAAGGGCTCAAATGTGTTCAAGGCTGAGAGATCTGTAAGGGATTATTTGGGTGATTAGTGATTACTGCTTAAATCTGTTGAAGTGTTTGTGATGGAGAATGAACTTCGTTTTCCACCAATACCCTTGGTTGATGTTTTCAGAGACTAATAACCTACAGACTGATTTTAATCTGTGTTACTAACTGCTTAGGCTTTTATCATTAATTTCTTATTATTTGTCAAGTTAAATTTCTTTTTTTAGGTTCTTTAATAAAAATGTGTATTATGTAACTTAGTACATGTTAGATTTTTCTACTAATTTCATCTATGTTTATTTTAGTGCTCTTCTTTTTAATGAAGTGAAATATATAACCACACTGGAAGATCTTCAGAACATAGAAAATGCTTTGAAAGGAAAAGCAAATATGGTATTCTCATATGTAAGAGCCATTGGAACGCCAGGTATTTATTAACTTCTGTTTTAATCTTTACTGGGTCTATGGACTAATGTCAGTATGTTGAAGTATTTCAAACAGTATGCAATCTCAGTATTTAAAATAAATTTAAAGCATCTTTATTATTATATTTCTTTAAATGGGAAGCATCATCTAGTGGTTGAACAAGAACTGTGGAGCCAGACTGCCTAGGTTAGACTCCTTGCCCCACCAGTGACTTTCATTATGACCTTGGATAAGTGACTTAACTTTAGTTTCCTACTCACCAAGATGTGGAAACTCATTGTGCCTACCTCTCTGTGTTATTGTGAGGATAAAATTAATTCAAGTAATTAAAATATTTCCTAGAATATTAAAGAAGTTCTGTTTTTATTTCCTTACAATCCTCCTGGAACCTGCTATTATAGTTTCTAATACTCAAAAAATATTGTTGACTAAATGGTTTTCTATTTAACATTTATGATTTTTAAATGTTTTTAGAAATCTATTTTTGGTAGCATCACCTGAGCATTCAAATCTAATTTTCTCATAAAGTTGTTTTATAAACAACTGACTGGATTACAATTATGCTTTCAGGATTGTTATTTGTTGTTATAACTTAACCATGTTAATATAAAGTGTTGTTATAGACATTTTAATAATTGTGCTCTGAAATAAATCATTTATTTGAAGTTTTGAAGTCTCAGTCTTTTTTTAATATTTATTTTTTAGTCACAGTTGGACATAATACCTTTATTTTGTTTATTTAGTTTCATGGGGTGCTGAGGATCAAACCCAGGGCCTTGTACTTGTTAGGCAAGTGCTCTACTGCTGAGCCACAACCCCAGCCCCTGAAGTCTCAGCCTTTATAAACATAAAGCCTACTGGCTACATAGCATGTTACTGAATGTAATATACGTGTAAAATAATAGTTTACAATCTTCTGTCTTCTCCAGAGTTTATAGTTGTAAACAGTGAAAGTGTTGAGCTATAGGGAGCTTGCACTGATGTAGCAAAACTTCCCTGGTTTTTTTAATAGCATCAACATAACTGCTATATTTGGAATAGATTGGAAGGAGCAAGAGTAGAATAAGAGGGAAAATTAGGAAGTTATTGGAATAATGCAGAGAAGAGATGATGGTGGGGGGCTTGGACTAGGCTGTTAGCAATGAGATGGCAATAAATATGAATTGTAGCAATATTTTGGAGGTAGGAATAACTGAATTTGTTGTCCTATTGGAGTGGAGTGAGAAATAGCAGAGGCAAGGGTGGCTGTGGGTTTTGACCTGAAGTACTCAAAAAGTGAAATGCTGATAACAGATGGGGAAAATGGGAATAGACTAGCCTAGAAAGTTTGGAGAGGAAGTTCTGAAGTTCACTTTGACATCAGACTTGTGAAATACCCATGCAAGTAGAGAGCAATGGGGCAGTTGGATATTATTGGACTGCAATTCTTACCTTAGGTTTACAAACTGGGGATACAGACTAGGGATATAAATTTGAGAAATAAAGCTGTGAGATCAGAAGAGGTCACCAAATGAGCGAGGCTAGATGAGAGTAAGACCGCAACCAAATCCCTGAGTCACTTCACCATTTACACAGTGAAGAGGTGAGAAGGAATCAGTAAGGGGTACTGTTAAAACATGAATCAGGCTGGGAGAGTATGTGGGGTCAAGATAATTTTTTTTAGATATTTATTTTTTAGTTGTAGTTGGACACAATATCTTTATTTCACTTATTTATCCTTATGTAGTGCTGAGGATCGAACCCAGGGTCTCGCACATGCAAGGCGAGCGCTCTACCACTGAGCCACAACCCCAACCCTAAGAGAATTTTTTAAGAAGCTTTATGTTGACAAGAAAGATCCAGTAGAAGGAGGGAAATATATCATGCAGGAAAAGAGGAGAGAATTGTTGGACAGGATCTTTGAGTAGGCAAAAAGGGATGGAGTCAGGTGACCAAGGAGAGACAGGATCTTTGGTGGGAGCACAAAAGGTTCACTCATGGTAATAGGGATAAGACAGAATGTGGGCATCAATTCAGGTTAATAAATACGGTTTTGGGAGCTTATTATTTTTTTAATTGGTTCTCTTTTCTCAGTGAAATGGGTATTAAACCACATATTGTAATCGAAATAAAATCTCAGTTTGGGAAAGAAGACATGACATTTAGGAGACCTGGAAATAAAGAATGGTTTCTAGGTAGCAATAGTGGTTACTATCAGTGATTTAAAGTGAGACCATTACCTAGTAGATTTTGCTTTTGTTTTGTTTTCCTTCAAGCCAACTTTACTTTCATGGATGTAGGGGCAGAATATACAGAGTACTAGGATTAACTTGTATTATGTTTTAGCCTAATTAGCAGGGGAATTAAAAAATTGACCATGAAATTTAAGCTTGATTAGGGGAAAAGAGCAGAGTGGAAGTGAAACGTGATAGGATTTCTGGATGTCCTGGTAGGTTAGAATTGTGTGCCTAACAGAGTGACCTGGAAGTGTGTGATTGTGTGGGTGCTAGACACTGAGATTATGGGGGGAAGTTGCAGCATTGGGTAATCACAAGGCTTTGGATTGAGACCATAGCATTGACTGGTTAAGGTAGAGGTGGTCAAGAACTGATATCTCATATACAATGGTGCCATAAACATACATTGGAGAAATGATAGCCTCTTCAACAAATGGTGCTGGGTAAACTGGAAATTCATAGAAATAAAATGAAATTAGACCCCTCTCTCTCACCTTGCACAAAACTCAATGTGGATCAAGGACCTCTCGGTATTAGACCAGAGACCCTGCATCTACTAGAAGAAAAAGTGGGCCCAACTCTTTATTATGTCAGCATAGAAACCAAATTCCTCAACAAGACTACTAAAGTGCAAGAAGTAAGATCAAGAATCAATAAGTGGGATTGTATCAAACTAAAGAGGTTCTTTACAGCAAAGGAAACAATCAAGAATGTGAAAAGAGAGCCTACAAATTTGGGGAAAATCTTTGCCACTTGCACCTCAGATAGAGCATTAATCTCCAGGATATATAAAGAACTCAAAAAACTTAACAACAAAAACCCAAATAGTCCAATCAATAAATGGGCAAAGGAACTGAACAGACACTTCACAGAAGAAGAAATACAATCAGTCAACAAAATATGAAAAAGTGTTGAACATCACTAGCAAGTAGAGAAATACAAATTAAAACTACAACAAGATTTCATCTCACTGAAGTCAGAATGGCAATTATCAAGAATAAAAGTAACAGTAAATGTTGGTTAAAATGTAGGGGAAAAGGTACACTTATACATTGCTGGTGGGACTGCAAATTGGTGCAACCACTTTGGAAAGCAGTATGGAGATTCCTTAGAAAACTTGAAATGGAACCACAATTTGATGCAGTTATCCCACTCCTCAGTATATACCCAAAAGACTTAAAATCAGCATACTTTAGTGACATGGCCACATCCATGTTCATAGCAGCTGAATTCACAATAGCTAAGCTATGGAACCAACCTAGGTGCCCTTCAACATATGAGTGGATAAAGAAAATGTGGTACATATATACAATGTAGTATTACTCAGCCTTGAAGAAGAGTGAAGTTAATGGCATTTGCAGATAAATGGATGGAAATGAAGAATATCATGCTAAGTGAAATAAGCCAATCCCCCAAAATCAAAGTCTGAATGTTCTCTCTGATATGAGGATGTTGACTCACAATAGGTTGGGGGTAGGAGGAGTGGAGGTTCATCAGATTGGTCAGGGAGAATTGGAGGAAGGGAGGGAGGCTGGGAAAGGGAAAGACAGTAGGATGAATCAGACATAACTTTCCTGGGTTTATATATGAATACACGGCCAGTGTAACTCCACATTATATACAAGCATAAGAATGGGAAGTTATACTCCATGTATGTATGATATGTCAAACTGGGTTATATTGTCATGTATTTAAAAAAATTTTTTTAGAAGGTCAAGAACTGAGAGGCTTGGATTTTGGAATGATCATCTATGTGATTTGCACCAAGGATTAAGATAGTAGTAGTACTGGAGAGCATGACAGTATGACAGAAGCTCAGTTCCTCATGAATGAGGGGGAATGATCCTGGCTGGGTGGTAGATGATGCTTACAAGGTAGTGGGTGGGGTCAGAAGAATAATCTGATGCAAGTACTAGGAGATTAAGTGTGAAAGGAGAATATAACTGCTTGGGAATGATAATGAGGAGAAAAGGGAAAACAATATACAAAAAGGGGGGAATCATCAAGGAAATGCTTCAAGAAAAGTTCCCAGAACTGAATTGTTTGAGCTTTTAAATTGGAAGAGCTTTTGAGTCTCAGCACAAGGGATGACAACAGAGGCACTCCAAGGTATCTCATTTTGAAATTACAGAAATTAAGAGTAGTGGGGAACTATTGTAAAGTCTTCCAGAGGGGGAAAAACAAGTTTGCAATTAAAGGATCCAGAATTGAAATGACATAGAAATTCTTGTTTGTAGTGTTGGAAATGGAAGAAAATGGAACGATGTTTTTAAGATTCTCAGGAGAAATAACTCTAGAGTTCTACATCCAGCCAACTGTAGTTAGTTGTGAAAGTACAATCAAGATGCTTTCAGAAATGCAGGTTGACAAAAATGTGTATTTTATATATCGTCTCACAGGAAGGTGCTAGAGAATTGGAATAAGGTATAATAATAGAAAAGTTATGAATAACAGAGCAAAGGACCCAACACAAGATAGGGAGGGGTGGATGGGAGGGGAGGAGAGGAGAGGGAAGAATTGAAAGAATGAATTCCCAGAAAGACAGTCGTCTAGCAGGCCAAGTAGCAATATTCCATAGTGGAGCAAATCAGAAGGCTCTTCAGAAATGTCTTTAAGATAATGGAGTTGATAATATGCCTGATACATTTGAAGACTTGAGAAGGATAGATAATTATGGAAGAGTTTAGGAAGAAATTTAAATAAAATTTTATAAAGATAGTTAAAGTTGTTCAAAAAGGAAAAAGATGGTCATTCTGTCCTGTGTGATTCATCTGTAAATAATACTTAGTCATAACAATACAAATCTGAATATTGATCTAATAAAAATTAGAACTATATTAGAAGGGTTGAGGGGATGGGAGTATGTACACTTTTGGAGCTGGGTTTCAGAAAAGAGATCTAATTTATTATCTTCTGTAGTGGGAAGTCAATAAGTAATAGTAAAGTTTGATGTCTGTCTACCTATTTGTGTATATTATATATGTGGATGTATATGTATCGGAAAATAAGAGTGTAGAATGCATTTAGAGACTTGAGGATAAATAACAAAAGAAATAGTGAAAGAATTGAAAATGGATGTCTCTTGGGGAGTAGAAATGGAATACAGGTTTGGGGAATGGTTGTTTTTCTTAATATGCTTCATAGAGTTGTCTCTTCAATAGTGTGTTTGATAAAAAATAGTAGACAAATACATATATAAAATATAACATGAAAATTGTGGATTCCTGTTGTCTTCTTATTAGGGAGAAATATGACAAATTTGTTACACTCTGAAGTATAACTCATTTTCCACTTCCTCTTAATTCTTCTTTTACCTTGAATAGAATATGCTTTCATTAGATAATTGTAATTATACGTAGTATTTGGGTTCATTTTGACAAAATCTTATATGTAAGGAATTTGATTTCATTCCCTGTTCCCCTATTCTCCCTCCTCTACTCTACTGATCTTCCTTTCATGCCTTTATTTATTTTTGATGGGTAATTTCTACATATACATAAAGGTGAAATTCCCTTTGGTACATTTGTGTGTGTGTGTGTGTGTGTGTGTATGAGATGTTATGTTATAACATAACATGATTTTGTTAATCATAGAATAGACTTTTTATAACTTCTTTGACTGCTTACATTTTCCTAACTGGAATCCTGCAAAGACCTTTCTTTAAATATAATAGGAAATAAAAGAGTATGGGGTAATGTTCAGAACAGAGGTTTACAGAGTCACATTAACTCCTTCTCCCTCCCAACTTTCTTTCTCCTCTTCAGAGCACAGAGCTGTCATGGAAGCTGCCTTTGTGTATGGGACCACATATCAATTTGTCTTAACTACAGAAATGGCCCTTTTGGAAAGTATTGGGTATGTATAAGAGGTATATTTCAACAGTTTTGTTATTTGTTGTTCATTTATTTCACATTACTTAGCATTTCCATCATGTGCTCATAGCATGGGTTTATCTCAAGGAATCATAAGCAGATGTGAATAGATAAGTGAAACTTGAAACACCCTTCATTAGTTTCATTTGCTGTACCACAGTATGAAATTATACAGAATTAATGTTAGACTAAGGTGATCAAGAACAGTATGGATAAGGCACTAGGTGGCATCTTGTAGGATCCATGGCCAAGTAGAGTACTTTAGGAACAGATCTCCCCCAGGGATCAGATGGGGGGAAAATAGCAGCTTACTTTGTTGTGACAATCCTAAATGTATTTAAGTATAGATTTTCAACAGATGTCAGATGTTTGTTTATCTTTGTCTACTTTCTAGCTTACAATTCTAGATAGAAGCCTACTTTTCAGTATTTTTGGTTGGGCAACCTAGGGTTAAAGTTTTTCTTTCCTTTATTACACACAAGTAATAACCAGTGCATTTTAAAGACTAAGTTGGCTTTAAAATGTTCTTCAGGAAAATTAATCTAAAGTAAGGCAAAATGGTGAGGGACCTTTTAATGCCATGTGAGTTTTAATGAGCCCCTTTGCTGACCTCTCAGAAAATTGTAGCTGTTTGATATACACAATTGTTTAAAGCCCATTTTATAACTGTAAATTTAGCGGTTAGTGCATAGAAAACTGATAGAGTAAAATGATTGGTGGGGGAAGGGAGGAAAGAAAGTTGGTGAAGAAGAAAGTTCCTACAAAGAAATTGTGCTTTTATTGCTCTGTTATTACATAAACCTGTATTCCTTTTTCTATTAGTCTCTCCTTGCTGAACTGTGATTCTGTTTCCTGTTTTAATGACTTAAGACCGATACATACTTTGTTTGTATGAGAATTACCTTTCTAACACCTTGATAATTATACTGACAGACAGTACCACAAGGCCGCACTATAAGTAGTCACTGAAGAGCAAGAAAACACAGTAAGCAGTAGTTCTGCCAGCCACTTTGCTACAACCAGTGTAGACTGCCAGTTTTCCCAACCTGAAATGGGGGAAGGCTTGATATTCCGATTCCTATGGTGATTCATGCTAGCCCCCACAGTTTCTCTGAGGGTTAGTTTGTGTTACCAGCTTCTAATTTTTCAGGAAATGTATAATTATAAAAACAGTAACATGGTTATTCATTGGCAAGGTACAGGTTCTGTTATTTACCTTACACATCTTGTTCAGCGAGATTCATATTCTTTCCCTTCCTTGTAGAAGGTGTTTTGATTTTCCCCATTTTTAAAATTGGAAATACCATCATCCTGTTTTCATTTACTTTTGGGTATAGGATCTGTTGGGGATGTTTGAATTATTATTTCTTCATGAATAACAAGATGGTGAGGTACCATATCTGGAGGTGATGTGGCAGGGAAGGACTGTGGATTCTAAGTATAGTGAACCTGTGACATCATTTCTGGATGAAGTGGTTGGCTATGACTGAGTTTTCTCCTAATGAGAGTGCAGTGGATGCATTCTTTTTTACATTTGTTTTTTCTTTTATTTAAAAAAATATTTATTGAATGCCTTCTTTGTGCTAGGCAGTCATTATTCCAGTTTCTGGGCTAAAAAAGTGCTTAAGACTGGTATATTGCTGTATCATGTTGAACCTGAATGTGTTTGAAAGACAAGTTAAAGGTATATAGATGGACAGTAAAAAGATAGCATGCTATAGAGTCACCAGTACTTTCTGCTACCTTGCCATGTTGCTTCCTTAAGAATAGACCAAAAAGGATATTGCTGCTACCCCATCTATACACATCACAGTCACCTAAACAAGGTGGTGGGAGGGCTGATCTAGCAGCATCCAGTCCGCTGGCTTGCCTGAACAAATGAGATCCCCTCTCTCAGGAACTTGGAAGTACACATGGTAATAGTCCTACACAGGAATGTTTTGCTCAATTATAGGAAAACTGAGGGGTGTCTTCACAAAGTGAATTGGGAGCTGAAGTGTTATTGGCAAAATGAAGGTCCCTGAACTCTTAGTACTTGGGTTTTATATTTTTCTCTACCATTTTTAGATCCACTCATTTTAAATTTTTTAAATTTTAATTTTAAAAATTTAATTGATTATTTTTAGTTATACATGACAGCATAATCCATTTTGATAAAGTTATGCATGCATAATTTATATCTAATTCTAATTAGGACCCCATTCTTGTGGATATACATGATAGTGGGATTCACTTTGGTGTATTCATATATGTACATTGGAAAATTATGTCAGATTCATTCCACTATTTTTCCTATTCCTATCCCCACTCCCTTCCCTTTATTCCCCTTTGTCTAATCTATTGCTTTACTTCCCCTCCTCTCCTTTATTGTGGTTTAGCTTCCACATATCATTGAAAACACTTGACCTTTGATTTTTTGGGGATTGGCTTATTTCTCTTAGTTTGATAGTCTCCAGATGCACCCATTTACTAGTAAATGTCATAAAGTCACTCTTCTTTATGGCTGAGTAATATTCCATTGTGTATGTATATCATAATTTCTTTATCCATTCATCTGTTGAAGGGTACAAGGTTGGCTCCATAGCTTACCTATTTTTGAATTGTGCTACTATAACTATTGATGTGGCTGCATCACTTTATCATGCTGGTTTTAAGTCCTTTTTTTTTTTTTTTTTTTGTATTTTGTGGAATACCCCTTTAAACTTCCAAAAAGTTCTCTCCTTTTTGGTTTCTGTTATCTGAAATCAAATAATCCCTGATTAAATAACTTTCCAAGATTTTGTTGTTCAGAGGTAAAGATAAGAACCCAACCTTAACTTCTGTACTTAACACTTCCCTTTCCCCATTATGTGACTATTCAAGAGGTTATTGAGCTTTACCTATATGTTTCCTTGTATTTGAAATGTCCAGATGATCTGTTTTCTTGAAGAAGCCATTCTCTCCCTTTCTAAGTGCTATGATCTTCCTTTCTTCTTCTTCCCAACTTGAGGCAGAATGAAATATTTCTTTGTTCTGCACTGCATTTTGTATATTATAATACTTATAAAGTACATTTTGATTATTTTACTTAATTATTTCCTTTGGTTTAATCATTTTGAGGATTTGAATTATCTTATTAATTTTTAACTTTAGTGTTTAGCATAGGCCAAACACACAGTAGGCATTAAGTAAGTCTTTAAGTGTTGCTTCTCTAATCATTGATTCTATTATAAATTACTTAGTAATTAAATTTGAAATTAGTGAACCTTGAACACTCAGTTTAAACATGTCTCAAGAATTAAAATAACATTTTAAAAATAAGATTTTGTAGTATTTTGCCAAACCCTACTAATGCCATATGGAGATTTTTAAAATGCTATTTTAATTTTGGCAGGCCTTATCACCACTATAAGTATCTTTTTAAATTCTCATATTGAAAGGAATGCCAAAACTCAAATTATAAGCCATATTTACCAAGTTTTCTAATATTTCAGGTGTAAACTCTCAAACGCCTACCAACTCTCACGTGGTTTCTATTTGAAGGCATGTTTTGGCTAAAGTTTATTCAAAACAGTTTGGATTTAAATTATACCTAGAAAATTTGTGTTAAAAAGCTTCATTTAATATAGTTCTAGTAAAGTATCAATATTTGAAAATAATCTCATTGTTCACAAGGGGCCAGCCTTTTATTGAAACAAAATTATGTAGGCCTGTCTATAAAGCAGAGAACTCATGGAGAAAATTGCCTATACAACTCATGTGGCTCATTCAGACATTAAGATTAATTTATTTAATATACTTTTCTTCTTTTTTTTTGACCAAGTTCATTTTATTTTATTTTAATGTTATACTCATTTAGGCTTCTACTGAGTCAGTAACTCAAAAGTATGAGACTTGAAGAAATTTGTTGTCATATCTTTTTTGTTGATAGGATCAGACATTGAACTTCATTAAGTGAATGTTCCTAATTTTTAATTTGCAGCTCTGAGAATATAGAACTTGCACATCTCTACTTTTTTCATTGTAATCTAGTCTCAGACTTGACCCAGCAATGTAGAAGAACACGAATGGAACAGTCATTGACGACACTGAACATTCACCTGTTTGTTAAGACAATGAAAGCACCCCTGTTGGTATGTGTTTTACTTTAATATAGTAGATAATTTGTACTCAAAATTTATTAAATTTTGATTTACAGCTATGTGTTTTACTTAGATGAGCTTTTTTTTTTTTTTTTTTTTTTTTAACTTTGGGCATATTCCTTTCATTTCATGGGATTTGTGAGTAGTTCCTTATTAAAGTTAGAATAGTAGGTAGACTATTATTAAAACAATGTTTTGATGTTATGATTTTCTATTCCATTGAAACCCAAATACAACATTGGATAAGTGAAATATTCTATAGTAGTAATTATGGCTCTGGGACTTGGTGGCTGTTCACAGATCACAAAGACCACATTCTTTTAAGAAAATACATTTTTTGAGAATCCTTTGATCGTTGCTTAAAAAGTTGGTAAATATTGGAACCATAGGATTTCTGGTGCCCCACTTTCCTTAGCATAACATTCCTCAATTAATGTTATATACAGATTCATTAGGCGATGGCAAGCAAAAAACTTTTCTCTCTGAAATGTTAAAGTGTTTTCCTGAGTGCATGAAAAACCTTCAGTAGAACTTACTCAGTACATTTTTTTTAAGAAAAATAGAATGTGCATGTATATTATAAATAACCCAAACAGCACTGCAAAGTATAAAGAAAAATTCATAAGAAGTTACCCAATCGCATCACTCAGTAATTGTTAGATGGCCATCACACTAGTTATCTCTGCACCCATACGTACAGATAGAAGATTGAGTGGATTAATAGATATATCATATTGAGTACCACCCTATTGTTTTAGTCAGCTTTTTTGCTGCTGAGAGCTCTCTCTCCTCACCATGACAAAATATGAATCCCCAGTAACCCACCGACTCCACCCATACACTACCTGCTTTCATTTACCACTCAGTTAATCCCGATCAGAAGGTTAATTCACTCTTTGGGAGAAGGCTGTCATAACCCAATCATTTTACTTTTAAACTTTCTTGCATTGTCTCACACATGATCTTTTTTGAGATACCTCATATCTAAACCATAACACCAATAGTAAGAAGAATTATAGTTAATCTTACTTGAGTTTAATTGAAGAAAAAAAAGTGTTGTGAAACAAGAGTGATTTTGGAACTTTTGAAAAATGTTTGTTCTTTAGAAAGTATTGTCTGAGGTATTGAAAATGGCCATGGAAAACAGTAAGAGATTATCAATCATTTAAAAAAAAACTTAGGGGGCTGGGGTTGTAGCTCGGGGTAGAGCACTTGCCTAGCATGTTTGGGGCACTGTGTTTGATCCTTAGTACAACATAAAAATAAATAAATAAAATAAAGGTATTGTGTTCATCTACAACTAAAAATATTTTAAAAAACTTAGTTTCCATTTTACCTAGAATTGACTTAGCTTTGAAAGATGAGAAAATTATCTTCATATACTTATTTTCATCTGTTCCTCCTACCTCTCTGATTTTTTCCCTGGTATTATTTTTACACTATTAAGGTCCATAGTATTTTTACTGTTTTATAACCACAATTCCCACTTTTAAAAAAGCCTTGCTTCTGGATTTAAGTAGATTCAGAGCTTGCCAGGCACAATTTTATTGGCTTGATTCCTTAGTTTTTAAATTTCAAGTAACTTTTTATTTGGTTGGAATTTGGTTACAAGGAATTTTTTTTTTTCTTTTTAAGAATATAGTTTATCACCTGGTTTGGTGGCACAGCCTCCTGTGGCTTAGGAGGCTGAGGCAGGAGGATTGGAAGTTCAAAGCCAGCCTCAGCAACTTAGTGAGCCCAACTCAGTGAGACCATATCTCTAATAAAATGAAAAAAGGGACTAAAGTGAGGCCCAACTCAGTGAGACTGTATCTCTAGTAAAATGAAAAAAGAGGATGTGGCTCAGTGGTTAAGTACCCCTGGGTTAAATTCCCAGTACAAAAAAAAATGTAGTTTATCAATCTTTTCCATTTCCTTTTGTAAGGGAGGGGACATGTATCTTTCCATAAGAAGAACATCCTCTAAATTTGGATGTTTTGTTGTCTCTTTTGAAGGAGGGGATAGTTCACTGTACAGTTATTTACTAATTTTTTTCCAGCCTCATTTTCTTATCTTCAAATAGGTATTATTAAGTACTCTCAGAATTTTGTCTATATACCAGTAACAGGCAGGATTTAGAGTTGTATCAAGCTTCCTAAAACTCTTCTGGTTTGTTTTTGTTTGCTACAACATTCTGGCTTGAAGTTGTGCCCCTTTCCTTAAGTTGTTGCTTATGAATTTTCTTTTGCTGTGTTTTGAAACTATTTGTTTTTTGTTGTAGATAGATTCAGAAGAATGAGATTCTTTGATTTCATTTTACTCTATAATACTTACCAGGAATTATGTAATATGAGTTTTGCACTTAAAAAGCTAAAACTCTGGAGACTTCATAATGACTTCCAATTCAATTAAGCATGGCTGTATTTGAAAGCATGGCATAGCAAAAATTTTAAGGTCCCTATTTATTATTCTCTTGTGAATGATAGCTCTTGAAATATGCATTTTATAAAACACATTGCGAATGGTACTTCCTGGAATTGTGTAATGTAGGTGACCCTGCTCCAGCCACTGTTTGCACTGATGCTCATTCTCCACTCATATCATTCTTAACCATCCCTCCTCCTCTATCTTCCACATCAATCCATATGCAAGTCTTCAAGTTTCAGTTATGGTTAGTTTTTTTACTTAGTGAGAGGCTTTACAAACTAACCTGGGCTTGTAGATTCAGGACTGAAAGAATTTGGTATGTTTACATTAAGCTTGTTTATAAACCAATGAGAATATAGAGTATGATTCGGACTTTTTGTAAACTGTTTTATGTGTCTAATGTATAATCATTGCAATAAAAGGGATTCATATTTCATTTCTGAGCATAGGAAAATTAGTACTTTTTTTGTATATGTGTCCATCTTTTTTTATGGTAGAGTACTTAAACAATTATTTTAGATCTAACACAACTGTTTTATTTTCATGTTATTTTAATCCTGTTAAACTGAAAATAAATCTTGAGTATAGAATTTTTATGTGGGCTTCAATTTCAAATAAATTAAGATTCTGCTGTACATGAAATTACTCTAAACATATTCTTAAGGTTCCCAACAATGGATAGACATGGGAAAATAGTTAGGTTATTGTTCGTTTGGTTAAAACTAAGGATATTTTGGAATGCTAATGGCTTTCTTTATGGGGGACTCATTTTGTAGCTGGTAGATAACAGGATAACTGTTATCTGAATCCCAAGGAGAATCTTCAAGTATGCATTTCTGGTACACTGTTAAATATAATTAAATTTTCTGGGTGCAGTTGGCACATACCTGTAATCCCAGTGGCTCAGGAGGCTGAGGCAGGAGGATTGAGATTTCAGAGCCAGACTCAGCAAAAGCGATGTGCTAAGCAACTCAATGAGACCCTGTCTCTAAATAAAATACAAAATTGGGCTGGGGATGTAGCTCAGTCCAGTGCCCCTGAGTTCAATCCTTGGTACCCCCCCCAAAAAAAAGCTAAGTTTTTATAAATAAATAAATATATTATATACACACACACATACACACGTGTGTAATAATGTAATGATTCAGTGAGCATACTTATATAATGGTTTTTATGAAAATTTTACATTATTTTTTTGTTTGTGTATTGAGATAGCTATCTGTTTCATGTATAACTAAACATTTGAGTTAAATTAAACCTATTTATTTATGTAGGAAACTAGAAGGATCCTGTAATGGTTTATTCATTTAGCTTCTGTTTTTTAAGAACTAATATAGCAGTGTACAGTTTTATACAACAAAATATTGATTTCTAACATTGTCTTAGAGCCTTGTTCATCATAAAATATGTTCATTTCCCCTCATAACAGTATTAAAGTGTATAGTACAGTATTAACAATTTCCTGTTATTATACAACAGGTTCTACGAGTTTGATTATATATAGATACCTCATATATTGAAAATGTGCATTATTTGGGTTATTTTTTGTGTAATTGCTTATTTTACTTAGCATAATGTCCTGAAGGTTTACCCATGTTGTAGCATGTCAGAATTTTTTCTTTTTTAAAGACCGAATAATATTTTATTGTGTATAAATATACACAAAACACATTTATTCATTCATTTAGTGGTGGACATTCAGGTTGCTTCCATGTCTTCATTCTTGTGAATAATGATGCAGTGAGCATGAGTGTTCTCCGAGATCTTGTTTTTGGTTCTTTTGTATACATACCCAGAGGTGGAATTGCTGGATTGTATGGTAGTTTCCTTTTTAAATTTTCAAAACTCTCCATGTCATTTTCCATAGCAGCTGCACTAATTTACAGTCTCACCAGTAGTGCACCAGGGCTCCCTTTCTCCACATCCTACCAATACTTGTTTTTCTTTCTTTGTTGGTTTCTTTCTTTCTTTGATAGATTTTTTTTTTTTGCTTTAACTCAAGTCCTCACATCTCTTCATGTAGTATTTTAGTAATAGCAGCTGATCTTGTCTGTATTCCTCTACTTCACTCCCTTTAATTCACATTCCCCATTGCTGATTGAGATTCTTTTGAACATATTTATAACCATGTTATAATAATTCATACAATTCATAATGGTTTCACTTTACACAACAAAGCCCTATTTTCTTGGCAGAACATACATGATTTTTTAAGGATCTGAATCATTACCAGACATCTAGCCTTAATGCTTGTTCCTCTTTTTACTACCAAATTACTACTACTAGTAATTAGTGATTAATAATTCTCCAAATCCACAAAGAAGAAACTAGGTTTTCCACTCTCTCAGACTGTTGCACTCATCTAGGTTTTTGGCAGAATTTAAAAACCTGTGCTGTGGACTCCGATTCCTGTTTTCTTGCTGGCTGTTCACCAGAGGCTGTCAGTTCCTCGCAGTTGCTCCCAGGTTCCTTGGCTGTATGGCTCTCTTAGGACATTGCAGCTTACTCCTCCAAAGAGGGGCAGTCTTGTTTCAGTGTGCTACAACAGACTCTTAAATGATGTAACTTATCCAAGGGAAGGGTTATTCCACAAGTCCCACCTACACTAAAGGGGAGGGAATTATACAAACTTGTGTAATCTTAGATTTCTGCCTATCATATGTCAGTGTAGAATTCTGTCTGAAAACTTTAAAATAAAAATCTTCAATAATTGGAAAGTTTGCGAAAACTTTGTGTTTTCCTGTGCGTCTGCCTTTACCCCCAATGTTAACTGCTTGGTATCCTCTTTCAATGTGGCAACTCATGTCCTTCAGTTGTGGAAAGTTTTGTGTTTATTTCATTGATTATTTCTTCCCTTCTGTTTTTTCCCTTGCCTCTTTCTGTGACTTCTATTTTTTAGATATTTGGCTTCTTGAATCAGTCCTTCAATTTTATTACCTCTTCTCTCCTACGTTCTATCTTCATTCTGCTTCCTGGGAGATTTAGTCAACTTTATTTTTTAATTCTTTGTGGATGTAGTGTCTTTTCATCTCCTCCAGATTGTCAGGGTGGTTTCTGAACCTTTTTCTTCCTGCATATAGTCTGCATTTTGTCCGTTTTTTGTTTTTTTTTTCCTGGACTGTTCTGGTGTCTTTCAGTTTTCCTCTGATGTTTGTTAATCCTTGGATAACTATTTATGATTTAGAATTCGAAACTAAAAAGTTGATTGGAAGTTTTGAGAATGTTGATGAGACTTGTTGACTCAGCTCTATAGGGTGATTGGGCCTGGGCTGCTTTTTGGCAGACCCCATTGTCAGTATCTTTAGACTTTTGGAGATTATTCGAGGTTCCCAGAAAAGCATCTTCCAATCTTCTGCTCGGGGACAGAGGTCTGACTACCAGCATTCCGAGAGCTGAGCGGAAAGGAGTCTTGTGGCACAACTTTGTAATTTAATCTCCCCTGATTTTGGCATGATGTCCACACTCTCAGCTGTTCCTGAAATGCCCCAGATTCCTACTGACATAGACAGTTGCCTGCACTCATGGATTCATGGAGGGGAATCTAGAGATCTAACTACTTCTCAAAAGCTTTGATCTGTTCCTTTTCATTTTAGAGCCTTTGTGTTATTTTGCTTTCAATATGTCTCTTCCAGTTCCCTATATACCAGACCCTGATGGTTCCTGAGCAATTTTAGGATTATGCAGTTAAAACTGAGTTGTTTCTTAGCTTTCCTTGTTATGACTGAAGGTTTTGCATTTTAGAATCTTCTCCATCATTTACTATTCTGTCCTCCAGCTTTGAAAATATTGCTGCCTTTTTTCTTTTCTATTGTTCAAATATGTGTGGTATCACTTAAAAAAATATTCCACTCGAGGTGGGGATGTAGCTCAGTGGCGGTAGTGTATGTGAGACCCTGGGCTCAATCCTTAGTACTACCAAATAATACACACACACTTCTGTGTAGTTTTCCTGGGATTTCCAGAAGGAATAAAATTATATGTGCATATTCAGTCTGCTATTTTAACTCACATGTTTTGTAATGTATCATTTATTATATCCTAAATTATGTACTACATATGAAAAAATTTAGTTCTCTGTTCTGTTTTCTTTAAAATATATCTATCAATACCATGCTCTTTTTTTAATATTATTTTTTAGTTGTAGATGAACACAATATCTTTACTTATGTATTTTTATGTGGTGCTGAGGGTCGAATCCAGTGCCTCACATGTGAGGGGCAAGCACTCTACCCCCGAGCTACAGCCCTAGTCCCGAGCACCATGCTTTTTTATTTGTATTTGTTTCTTTACAATATTCTTATTTTGTTTATGGTCGTATATTGTATTTAACTCCTTAGTTGTATATAATATTTAAACTAATAGGTACATTTGAAGCAGTAAACTTAGGAATTCATGAGATTGTTTTATTAATATATTTATTTCACAGACTTGTTTTTCAATTGTGACTTTATTAATAAAAGCTAGTAGGAGGTTTTTAAATACAAATGTTGAAACATTATCATACAATGAAGACATTTTGTTCTGTTTTTTTGTTTGTTTGTTTGTTTTGTTGTAAATGAAGACTGAAGTTGCTGAAGATCCTCAACAAGTTTCAACTATTCATCTCCAACTAGGATTACCACTGGTTTTTATTGTTAGCCAACAAGCCACGTATGAAGCTGATAGAAGAACTGCAGAATGGGTTGCATGGCGTCTACTGGGAAAAGCAGGAGTTCTGCTCTTGTTAAGGTATCTTAACCACATTGAATATTCACTCTACTTAGCAAATACTAATATTGTTCTCATTTTTAATGTGGCAACTTAGTCATATAAATAAACTAAAATCTCTAGTAGATCCCAACATAGTTAGAACTTACTGCTGAGCTTAAGGCTATACATTAATTGTAATCTTGACTAAAATTAAGATGGAGACTAGGAAATCCATTTTGTATTCATTTATATGTGAAATTTATCAGACCCACTAAATTGTAATCTTTATTCCTAAACATTTTGTAGCATGAGAACTTTTAGTTCTGTTTTATTTTATTTTTTTGTGGTGCTGGGGATTGAACCCAGGGCCTTATGCATGCAAAGCAAGTACTCTACCAACTGAGCTATATCCCCAACCCTTAGTTCTGTTTTAGATTGACTTTCTGGATGACTATTATTTTTCAAATTAGCAACATAAAACATTTGTTTCCATTTTGAAAAAGGGACTCTTTGAAAGTGAACATTCCTCAGCACACCAATGTGATCTTCAAAAGAGCAGAACAGGTTAGTCATTTTATGTACTACCTATCATATCAGTTTATGTAAAGAAAGTTAGTACATGTGATCCTAAAGTAACATGTTTATTATGGAAAAAATTTGTAAATTGTCACTTACAATTAAATCTCTTAATATGGTACATTTCCTCTCCCATTTTCCCCTAGGACAATGACTTTTTGGATAAATAGGTAGTTTTCCATATTCTGGATTTGTGTGTTTCTTTTTGCTTTTTTCTGCATTTTTACTGTGTTCCTTTCTATTTTCTATAAATAATTTTTAAGGTTGATTAGCTTCATTAAACATTTTGGGTAAAAATATTTCATAGTGCTGGCTTCATTATATTCCATCCTACCCAAAAGTATTTGATGTTTATTTTTTTCAATGATTCCGTAGTTCAATCCCTGAGTTAAGGTGAGGAAAGCTAATTTTGCCCATTATAAGATACATTTTCTCTTTTCCACTTAGCAAATAAACTGAAGGTAGAAATGCAAATAATATCACAAGAGACACCAATATTTACCTTCTGGAATGCCTAAAGATTATTTAAACAATAATACCTTGACAGAGATATGGAGAAACAAGAATTATAATATACCGCTAGCAGGAGTAAAAACTGGTAAATGAAAATAGAAAAACACTAGGCAGTGTTATTAAAGTTGAAGCTGCATATATCATATGAACCAGCAACTATATTGCTGGGTATGTAACCAACAGAAATTCACATGCATGTGCACCAAAAGACAACATTATTATATTATATTCATAGTTATATTATTTTTGATAGTCTCAAACTGGAAACAACACATGATCAGTAGAATGGGTAAATAAATAAATTGGAATATATTTATTTAAGAAATACGTAAAAGTACTGAAAAAGCTGTTTTTATATGTTATAAACCTGGATGAACCTCACAATGTTGAGCAAAAGTAATCTCAAAAAAGAGTATAAATTGTATGGTTTTGTTTTATAAATTCAGAAATCAGCAAAATGTATAGATGATGAGTATTTTAATTTGGCTGGGCTGCTGAAACAAAATACCACTAATAAGGTGGCTTATAAACAACAACAATTTATTTCTCATGGTTCTAGAGGATGGGAAGCACAAGATAAGGTGCTGGAAAATTTGGTGAGAGCCCTTAGATGGTGCCTTCTCTTTGTGTTCTCACACGGTGGAAGAGATCTAATTCTCTGGGGTCTCTTTTATAAAGACACTAATCCTATTAATGAGAACTCTGCCTTTATGATGACCAAAGCACCTTTCAAAGAGCCTATCTCCTAATGTTATCACATTGGTGATTAAGATTACACAAATGAATGTTGGGGGGACACAAACATTCAAACCAGAGTTGTAATAAAGGTCTAAACAGTGACTGACTACCTTGGCGAGAGGGGAATGACAGAAGGGCATAGATGATGGCTTCAAGGGAGCTAGTAATTTCTTATATCTTAATCAATGCCGTGGTTATACAGGTATGACCTCTTTATAAAATTTAATCAGTCTCTACTGTCAAAATCTGTGTTCTTTTCTATGTGAATGTTATAATTCAGTGAACAAGTTTACATGCAAAATTTCTATATTATATTTGGAACAATTCAATTTGATTTATTTTGATTCTTCTACCTTTTAACTCCATTATATTTTTGCAGGAGTAAAAAATTGTTTTGAGTGTAATATTAAAAAGATGAAATATGTTATATGAAAGAATAAACATATTTGGAGTTCTCTCATAGCTTTATTACATTGTATAGTTATAGTCAGGGATGATTTGCTGAAATAACCTAATGACTTAAAATTTTCGTGTTTTAAAAATATAATAGTTGGGGCTAGGGTTATGGCTCAGTGGTAGAGTGCTTTCCTAGCATGTGCAAGGCCCTGGGTTCAATCCTCAGCACCACATAAAGATAAATAAATAAAATAAAGATATTGTGTCTAACTACAACTAAAAAATGTAATAGTTGGATATTATTGAAGGAATAATATTGATCTCAACAGAATAGAATTTGATATGCTTAAAATGCCTGAGAACAGAGAGTCATTTTATGTTTATAATTAAACAGGGAATTGGACTTCTTTGTGGAATTATTTTAAATAAAGTATTATTTTTAACATCTGTAGAATATAAAAATAACTGATTTTGATTGGTTCCATTTGCATTAAAATCATATATATTTCCATTGTATGTTGAGGTAGGGGGTGCTGTTTATTATATTCAAGTATTTTACAGACTTCAGTCTAAGGCAGTTGTGACAAGAAGCAAGAGAGACTGTCAGATCCTCTTTTTTCAGTAGTATGCACTGTCTTAGGGGGATGCTTTGGATGCTTTCCTTGTCATAGTAATTGTGTATTTCCTTTTTTTTTCCTTGAGAAAAAAATCAAAGTTTAGTTTCATTTTAGTGTCAAACAAGTAGAATGTTTTTAGGTTAACATGCTATGCTATATTTTAGTGATTTTTTAAAAAAATAACATATTTCTAGGAAGTACCAGTGGAATTTTTGGAGTTACATGATGTTGAATTAATAATTTCCCATGTGGAAAATAATAATCACATTGAGGAAACACAAGAAGATGAAGACAATGACATGGAAGATCCAGACATGGGTAATAGTTGTAAGGCTTGCCACCTCCTTTACTGTCCTGACACCTATAGGTTTGGTGAAGTTTATAGTGGGTTAACTTTCTCACAGAAAGTATCACATTCAAAACTCTGTGAAGCAGCCTGGAGGAATTTATTTTGAATCACATTTTATCAAGTTGATTTGGTAAAAAGATGTAAGAATGCTGTGTTTTGTTTAGTGCATACCTTTCTTGGTACACATCAGTCTTCTAACCTTCCACAGCTGTGCTTTTTATTCTCCTAATCAGTTCTCTCAGTTCTTTTGGCCTGCTTCATGTTTAAAAGTCCATCCAGAAACCACAATATATTTCATTTTTTTAAATTATAGCTTTATAGTTATGCAGAGAATCTGGGTTCATCCTGACAAACTCATACTGCATGGAATTAAATTTCGGTTCATGATCTCTTTCCCCACCTGTTTCCCTCCCGTACACCTTCCCCTCTCCCATAACAACATATTTCATTTTCATTATTTTTTAGTAGGAAATGAAATTTTGTACTGTTTGTAGTTATAAATTAGTCTGATTATTAACAGAATAGAGAGTAAATTCCAATAACATTTTATTCTTTTTTTATTGATTTTTTTAAAAAAATAAATGATAGCAGAATGCATTACAATTCTTATTATTACATATATACAGCACAATTTTTCATATCTCTGGTTGTATATAAAGTATGTTGACATCAATTTGTGTCTTCATACATGTACTTTAGATAATGATGTCCATCACATTCCACCATCCTTGCTAATATCCTGCCCCTCCCATTCCCTCCCACCCCTCTTCCCTATCTAGAATTCATCTATTCCTCCCATGCTCTCCCTCCCTACCCCAATATGAATCAGCCTTCTTATATCAGAGTCTGAAACATTCTTTTCTTGATTCTCTAACTGGGAGAATTTGGATCTCTAAATCTAAATTTTCCTGTTACAAACCCTCTATCTCTTACTTTTATTCATAAACTGATAATTTATCATTACATATTTATTCATTTATCAAGTTTATTGTCTGGCTTTTCTATAGATAGAAGCACCATGTGGTCAGGGATTGTGTCTGTTATTTTTGACATTTGCCCTAGTATTTATCACAGTATTTGGCATATAGTAGAAGCTGAATAAGCACTGTCAAATATGTATGGTAGAGTCTTTTAGAGTTGTAAATTAATATAATGATTGGAAAGAAAATAGCAATGCTTATATTATTTGTAGAACAAAAATAAATAATTATTTCTAAACTAAACTTTGTAACTAGTCTGAACTTTTAACTTCTAGATCAGAAAGCATCTCAGTGTTATTTCAGATAGGAAGCCAGGCAACTGGAAAGTCTTCTAAATATACATTTTAACTACTTAGTATGTGTTTAAAAGTTTTTTATAACAAAGTACCAAATTTTCATTTGCTTGCTTATAAGTTTAAATATTTTTAATTATACAACCAAAATTAGTTCCTTTTTTAAACATTTTAGATATTCAAGATGATGAAGTTGCAGAAACTGTTTACAGAGATAGGAAGAGACAGTTACCTTTGGAACTGACAGTGGAACTCACAGAAGAGACATTTAATGCAACAGTAATGGCTTCTGACAGCATAGTGCTCTTTTATGCTGGTTGTAAGTATGAGCCTGTAGAGGAGACTGCAATACATATTAGGACATTTAAAGTAGAATTTATTTTTGAATTCTATAAAGTTCACATTGTGAAAATAACAGCTTTCCTATGTTCCAAATAGACTGCACATATTGAAACATTTACTTCTAACTGATTCTAAGGAATAAAACTGATTTTATATATCTCTATGAATGTGATTTACGAATTGAAGGTTAATCATTAAACTAGGTATTTAGCTAATTAATTTGAAGACTCTTGATTCATGCCAATAATTTTAATATATTAACAGTTCTTATAGATTTATAGGAAATATATACTTTTATCTTCAAATAATAGTCTTTCAACTATATTACTTGCAGTATGAATGTAGAGAGTTGCATTTGGAGCCCTTTTAAGTTGTTGGACAATATTGAGTACTCTACTATATTTCTTATTTGGAAATAATAACTTGGGGTAAACCTATTTGTTTGTTATATATAAGTATGGGTGCTTTGGAGATAAACATCTTGTAATATCTATTGAATTTTTTTATTTTAATCTAGGGCATGCAGTATCCATGGCATTTCTACAGTCCTATATTGATGTGGCAATTAAATTAAAAGGTATTATATTGTGATATGCATGCTTATTTTCCTGATTTCTGTGCTGTAATCTTTTTATAAAATGGTGTCATCCTAAAGATATAGAAAACCACATAAAATTTCAGGTTGTTATGTTTATGTATCCAAGGTTAAATTAAATTAAGAGTATCAAAAATGCTTAGAAGCTGGACATGGTGATGCACTGCTATAATCCCAGCAGCTCAGGAGGCTGAGGCAGGAGGATGGAGAGTTCAAAGCCAGACTTAGCAATTTATTGAGGTACTAAACAACCCAGTGAGACCCTGTCTCGAAATAAAATATGAAAAAGAGCTGGGGATGTGGCTCAGTGGTTGAGTGCCTCTGATTTCAATCTCACGTACCAAAAAAAAAAAAAAAAAAAAGTGCTGAGAAGCCTTCACTTTGATTATTTCATGGGACTTCTAGTAGAAACAAAGAGAGTCCGTGTATTAAGTACTTATGGCTACACAGTGTACCAGTGACCTTTTTGGCTAAATTCAGTCATTCAGCAAACATTTATTGAGTGCCAATTATTATTAAATACTGAAGATAAAAATTTGAAAGGTAACACCCAGTCTCACAGTCTGTGAAAGATCCAAGATCCCTGTGTTCTTGAAGCTATACAATTACCTCCTCTTGGACTATGATATTTTTTAATAGTTAGAATCTTTTTGTCTTAACTATTCTATTAAGCCTAATTCAGTGGTAGTTAAATAAGAGAATAAGGACTGGACTTTAACTCAAAATGTTTAGGCCATCATTACATCAAAGGCATGAGGAGAAGTGGTGAGACCTTTTAGTAAAGGGGTAGCAATGGATAAGATGTGTATAATATTTTGTAATCATTTGAATATGACAGATGGTAACATATTTTGTGTCTGTGGTATGGTTGCTTCCTACTGTTTACCTTGTAAATAGAAGCTATCATAGTTAAATAGGCTTATTCTTGGCTCCTCTGAGAATGTTATTTACCATTTATCTTTTTTTTTTGGGGGGGGGGGGCGGGTACCAGGGATTGAACTCAGGGGCACTCAACCACTTAATCATATCCCCAGCCCTTTTTTTGTACTTTATTTTGAGACAAGGTCTTACTGAGTTGCTTGGTGCCTCACCATTGCTGAGGCTGGCTTTGAATTTGCAATCTATTTGCTTCAGCCTCCCTAGCTGCTGGGATTACAGGCATGTGCCACCACACCTGGCTACCATTTAGTTTTTGACTTGTATGTGTTGACAGAATAAAAAGGTAGATAACCAATCCAGGACTTGCTTTCTTTTTCATTCAGTATGTTCTTTATGAATAACAGTCCTATTAATAATTAGATGTCACATAAATGGACTATTTTGGAAGTTCTAGGGCTTATTGTAGAAATGTATAGGTAACTATTGTGTATAGTATAGGTAACTATTGTATTTTGGACTTTTTTAGAATTTGGAATATTTGCATATAATGTGATACATTGGGGATAGGACCCAAGTCTAAACATGAAATTTGTTTATTTCATGTGCATTCTACACATATAGGCTGAAAGAAATTTTATATAGTATTTTTAATGCACTTAAGTTTTGACTGATTTCTGTTACATGAGGTTAGATGTGGAATTTTTTACTTTTGGAGTTCATGTTGGCACTCAGAAATATTCAGATTTTGGAGCATTTTGTATTTCAGACATTTAGATTAAAGATGTTCATCCTGTTTTATAACTGCAAATTAGGATAATAGTAGTACTTTGAAATTAGTCCTATTAATTTGTCTTTTAGGTTGACTTCCTGGGAAAAATGTCATTTTTCATTTCAGTCTAAAAATATTTTTTACTCAGTCACAAGGTGGCAGCAAATGTCAAATTTTGATGCTTGACATAGTATCTGTATCAAAGAGAATCTATTTTTTCTGCTTCAAAGTAGGAGTTCTATTTGAAATTAACGCATTGATAAAGAGGAATACAATACTGTAGCTATCTCAGAATATTACACTATTCAGATTGAAATATGAGTGAACACTGAAACCATTTTATAGAAAATAAAAATTTTATAATAACTTCAGCATAAGCAGGCTTAGAACTTTTAATAACATGTATCATGTGCTCTTTTTCTAGTTTTAAAGATAATATTAAAGTTTCAACTTTGTAGGGACAAAGTAATATGTTTAGCAGAAGTAGATGTGTTGAGGATGCTTACTGAATGGAAGGAACATCTATATTGGGTGGCAATATAAGATGGCGCTCTATGTGAACAAGCATCACTTGATACTTGTTGAGGACATGATTAAAGAATAGGAGAACTTTGTAGAAGATTTAGCAGGTTTGGTTTTGGAAGGGATAAAACTTATTTTTGTTTATATGATCATATGTTGTTTAGGTATTAAAATATTTTCAAAAGTTTAAATTTGTTCTTGAAGGAATATCAGTGACCATCCATACATTTTTTTTTGAGAGAGAGAGAGAGAGAGAGAGAGAGAGAGAGAGAGAGAGAGAGAGAGAATTTTAGTATTTATTTTTTAGTTTTCGGCAGACACAACATCTTTGTTTGTATGTGGTGCTGAGGATCGAACCCAGGCCACACGCATGCCAGGCGAGCGCGCTACTGCTTGAGCCACATCCCCATCCCCATCCATACATTTTTGTAGACTGAGTACCTACTGTATAACAGACCTTGTAATAAACACTGGAAATGTAATGGTGAATTAGATACTGCTTGTTTTATCAGAATTTTAATACTAAATTCTAAGTGATAGTTAAGTCATTGCCTTTATGAACTATAATAAAAATCTCTGAAAATATAAAGATGAATTTTCATTATTAAAAATTTGGGATGATAAAATATTTTTTAAAATATTGCATCTCACAAATTGAATCATTTGGTTAGGCTGTATCCTAAATTAATATATAGAGACTTCTTATTTCATATGATATTAAAGTTTATTTTTTTTAGAATTTTTTTCTTTCAAAATCTGAATTGTGTGGTGCTTGTTTTGATTTTTGATCTCTTTTCACCCAGCAATTTATGTATTTCAAAGAACTTTACATGTTGTATAATAGAACAAATAGGAATTTCTGCTTTGGATTACAATATGTGATTTTAACCTGAAATTATAATATTTAGATGGGCATGCCTGCAACCCTAGATGAGTTTCACATGTGTCATTTACTCACGTGTTTATTAAAGGTGATTCATGTACAAGGACTGCTGTAGATGCTGGAAGTCAATGGTCACTACTATCAAGCAGCTCTCTTGGTAGGGGCAGACATTAATCAAATAACTAAACAAAGGAATACCTAATTCATAAGGAGATAAAGGAGCATATATCAGAGGAACCTGATATAAATCAGGATGTTCCACATGTAATCACAAATAATGAAAAAGACCTAACTTTGCAAAGGTTGGTGGTGGGGCAAGGAGGGTATTTGCTACAAAAACAGGGTTGGTGGGGAGCAGGGTAGCACCAGAACAGACTTGAGTTTTGAAAAGATAATATCTACAATTATTGTAGAGCCATTGAATCCAGGGAAGTGAGTTAGAAGCCTATTGTAGTTATCTAGGAGAAATGATGACTAGAGTATTGACAGTAAAGAGAAATGGACAACAATTAGAAATATTTAAACTTAAAGTGGTAAAATTGAAAATGTGTACTGATGAGACGTGGAGGGGCTTGGGAATGGGGAGGCATGTAGGATGATGCTTTGTTCTGTGAATTGCACAATTTTCACCAAGTAACACGGGAAGGAAAGCTATATTTGGTTTTAGACATAGATATGTAGAGTTTGAAGATGTTTTCATTCTCAGGGAAGAAGGTAGTAAGGTTTCATGGTCCTGGAACTTCAAGGAGGAATCTGGACCAAGGATACACATTTTGGATTCATTAGATTGTTGATGGTTATTGAGATTGTCTAGGAACAGAGTGTAGAACAAGAAGAGAAAGCAGTTTAAACGGAGCCTTGAGGAACTCCCAATTCCACTAGCAGAAGAGCCTTCAAGGAGTACCAAAAAGGAAAAGCAAGAGAGGTAGGAAAGAAGCTGATAGGGGAATTGTCACAAAAATCAAAGGAAGAGTGTTTCAGCAGAAGTGTTCCACACTGAGAGGTTAAAATTGTTGGGCTAGGAAGAGAATGAAGATTTTAGCAGATGATATTCTGCATTAATATCTACAAAATGTGCATTTTCCTTTAATTTAGACACATCCACTATGCTTCTTACTAGAATAAACTGTGCAGATTGGTCTGATATATGTACTAAGCAAAATGTCTCTGAGTTTCCCATTGTAAAGATGTACAAGAAAGGCGAGAACCCAGTATCATATGTTGGTATGCTAGGAACTGAAGGTCTCCTGAAGTTTATACAACTGTAAGTATTCAGCTTCACTACAAGATTTTTAATTCTGGGGATCTGTAGAAGTTCTAATTCTCATAGTTTGTTGACATCCTTTGTTAAGGATGACATCCTTTATTAAGGATACATTCCTTAATAAATCATAGATCACAGAGTAAATATTGATAAGGACTGTCATTGCACATTCCATTATTTTGGGGGAGATGGTTATTTTATTTATTGAAACTGATTTTTTTAAAAGAATAATATTTGTGAGGCATGGAGGGCTGAGGCAGAGGATTGCAAGTTTGAGGTCAACCTGGAAAATTTAGTAAGACTTTTGTTTCAAAAATTTGAAAGAAGAGCTCTGGGGGTGTAACTCACTGGTAGAACACTTGCTTCATATGTGCAGGATCCTGGGGTTGGTACGCTAGTCCCATAAAATAAATAAATAGTATTTAGTTGTCTTTTTTTTTGTCAAGTTTATCATGTGTAATATGTTGTTTGCTAAGTTCAATGTTTTTTAACAAACTGAAAGATATCTTTAAAAATTAATTTTGAATATAGTTATGTATTTATCCAGCAACAGGATTTCATATCCAGTGAACATAACACTGATCCAGGAAGCAGAAAAATATTTAAGTGGAGAATTATATAAAGACTTGCTCACCTATTCTAGTGTGTCAGTACTGGGACTATTTAGTCCAACCATGACAACAGGTAAGTAGAGTTGAGATTTAAATTAAATAATGTACAGTTAAACATGTATTGTAAATTGTATGTTATATACAGTACTTTTTAAAAATGGGGTTTTAGTGCTTGTCTAATGAATTAGCATGAGATCTTCATAGATTAAGTAGATTAAGCTTTTTTTCATTTTTTTCAAATTATTTTCCCCCAGTTTATTGTTTGCTTTTTAACTTTATTTAATAATAGTTTGTATGTAGTAGTTTAAAATTTGCACTCAAATTTATTGATTTTGATATATATATATATATTTTATTGCTTTTAGATATAAAAAATTCTTATGCTGGGTGTAGTGGCACATGCCTATAATCCCAGCAGTTCAGGAGGCTAAGGCAGGAGGATCCAGGTTCAAAACCAGGCTCAACAATTTATCGAGACCATCTCAAAATAAAAATTGAACAATAAAAGGCTGAGAATGTAGCTCAGTGGTAGAGTGCCCCTGGTTTCAATTCCCCCCAAAATCTTATTGTATCAGTTAATATTCACCTGTAATTTATTGCTTTAACATATAATATTGTCTTAATTTATATTGTCTCCTTGTTATGAATATTTTTCTTTTTTAAAAAGTTGTAGTAAAATATATATAACATAAAATTTATCATCTTAACTGTTTTTAAGTTCACTAACCTCCAGAACCTTTGCATTTTGCAGAACTGAAACACTATATTCATTAAACTCCTCCACTCCATCTCTCCCCTGCCTTTATCACTACCATTCTATTTTCAGTTTTATATGCATCTGACTACAAGGGGAATCACATATTTCTTTTTCTGTCTGGTTTACTTGATTTAGCGTGATATATTCAAAGGTTATGCTTGCTATAGGATATATCAGAAGTTCCTTCCATTTTAAGACTGATTAATATGCCATTATATGCAAATTATATTACCTTTTTACTCTGATTGTATCCTTTGATTTTTTTTCTCTTTAAAAGTATTTTAACCATTAAGATATCTTGATACCTGATATGAGGCCAGATACCAACTTAACACTTTCTAAGTAACTAACAGTTACTCTTTCTTTTCTTCTGCTTACATATGATCTCACCATCCCCATGTTAAATCCATATCTCTGAATGTGTATGTATGTCTTGAAATATTTTCTATTTCATTCACTTTATCTATTGATACTTCAATTAGTTTTTTTAACTTTTTATTTATTCTTTTTAGTTACACATGATAGTAGAATGTATTTTGATATATATCATATACATGGAGTGTAACTTCTCATTTTTGTGGTTGTACATGATGTTGAGTTACACTGATTGTGTATTCATATATGAACATAGAAAAGTTGTGTCTGATTCATTCTACTGTCTTTCTCATTCCTGTGCCCCTCCTTTCTCCTCATTTCCCCTTTTCCAATTGGATGAGCCTCCATTTCTCCCTTCCCTACCCACCTATTGTGATTCAGCATCTGCATATCAGAGAGAACATTTGGCCTTTAGTTTTTTAGGATTGGCTTATTTCACTTAGCAAGATAGTCTCTATTTCCACCCATTTACTGGCAAATGCCACAATTTCATTCTTCTTTAAGGTTGAGTAATATTCCATTGTGTATTTGTACCACATTTTCTTTATCCACTTATCCATTTAAGGGCACCTAGGCTGGTTCCATAGCTTAGCTATTGTGAATTTAACTGTATACATTGATGTGGCTCTGTAGGCATCCCTTGTGCTGAGACTCAAAAGCCCTTCCAATTTAAAAGCTCAATTCAGTTCTGGGAAATTTTCTTGAAGCATTTCCTTGATGATTCCCTCCTTTTCATATATTGTTTTCCCTTTTCTCCTCATTATCATTCCCAAGCAGTTATATTCTCCTTTCACACTTAATCTCCTAGTACTTGCATCAGATTATTCCTCTGACCCCACTTGCACCTTGTAAGCATCATCTACCACTCAGCCAGGATCACTTCCCCTCATTCATGAGGAATTGAGCTTCTGTCATACTGTCATGCTCTCCACTACTACTACTATCTTAATCCTTGGTGATTTGGTATCCACATAGATGATCTTTCCAAAATCTGAGCCTCTCAGTTCTTGACCTTTAAAAAAATTTTTTTAAAAATACATGACGCCTTTTGACATATCATACATACATGAAGTATAACTTCCCATTCTTATTCTTATATATAATGTGGAGTTACACTGGTTGTGTATTCATATATGAACACAGGAAAGTTATGTCTGTTTCATCCTACTGTCTTTCCCTTTCCCATCCTCTCTCTCTTCCCCTGATTCTCCCTGACCAATCTGATGAACCTCCATTCCTCCTACCCCCAACTTATTGTGAGTCAACATCAGAGAGAACATTTGGCCTTTGGTTTTTGGGGATTGGCTTGTTTCACTTAGCATGAAGAACACCTAGGTTGATTTCATGTGGATTCAGCTGCTATGAACATTGTTTGGCCATGTCACTATCGTATGCTGATTTAATTTTTTTTTCATTGTATATGAACATAATACCTTTATTTTATTTATTTATGTGGTGCTGAGAATTGAACCCATTGCTCCACATAGGTGAGGCAAGCATTCTACACAACCCCAGCCCCTAGTATGCTGATTTTAAGCCCTTTGGGTATATGCTGGGGAGTTGGGTAACTGGGTCAAATGGTGGTTCTGTTCCAAGTTTTCTAAGGAATCTCCATACTATTTTCAGGAGGGGTTGCACCTGTTTGCAGTCTCACCAGCAATGTATAAGTGCACCTTTTCCCCCATATCCTCGCCAACACTTTTTACTATTTATATTCTTAATAATTGCCATTCTGACTGGAGTGATATGAAATCTCATTGTAGTTTTATTTATATTTCTCTAATTGCTAGTGATGTTGAACACTTTTTCATATATTTGTTGACCGATCTTATTTCTTCTGTGAAGTGTCTGTTCAGTTTCTTTGCCCATTTATTGATTGGACTATTTGGTTTGTTTGTTTGTTTTGGTTTTAAGGTTTTTGAGTTCTTTATATATTCTGGAGATTAATGCTGTATCTGAGGTGCAAGTGGCAAAGATTTTCTCCCATGCTGTAGGCTCTCTCTTCCCATTCTTGATTGTTTTTTGTTGTTGTTGTTGTGAAGAAGCTTTTTAATTTTCTACAATCCTATTTATTGATTCTTGATTTTACTTCTTGCACTTTAGGAGTCTTGTTGAGGAATTTGGTTTCTAAAGCTGACATGGTGGAGAGTTTGGCCCACTTTTTCTTCTGGTAGGTGCAGGGTCTTTGATCCAATTCCTAGGTTCTTGATCTACTTTGAACTGAATTTTGTGCAGGGTGAGACTTAGGAGTCTGATTTCATTTTGTGGCATATGGATTTCCAATTTTCCCAGCACCATTTGTTGAAGAGGCTATCTTTTCTTCAATGTATGTTTATGGCACCTTTGTCTAGAATGAGATAATTGTATTTATGTGGGCTTGTCTCTGTCTTCTAATTCTGTACCATTGGTCTTCATGTCTGTTTTTGTACCAATACCATGCTGTTTTTGTTACTACAGCTCTGTAGTATATGTAGTATATGTAGTCTGGTATTGTGATGCGTCCTACTTCACTTTTCCCACTGAGGATTGCTTTGGCTATTCTGGGCCTCTATTTTTCCAAATGAGTTTCTTGACTGCCTTTTCTACTTCTATGAAGAATGCCATCAGAACTTTAATAGAAATAGCATTAATCTGTATAGCACTTTTGGTAGTATAGCCATTTTGACAATATTAATTCTGCCTATCCAAGAACATAAGAGATTTTGTCCATCATCTAGGGTCTCTTCAATTTCTTTCTTTGAGTTCTGTAGTTTTCACTATAGAGGTTATTCACCTCTTAGATTGATTCTCAAATATTATATATTTTTGAGACTCTTGTGAATGGGATAATTAGTTTCCTAATTTCTCTTTCAGTTGATTCATCACTGATGTATAGAAACATAATTGATTTATTCAATTAGCTTTTCAATAATGTTGAATATATGATTAGTCAAGTCTCTTATTTTTCTTTTTTACATTTTCTTGTCTATTTTGCCTTTCATCTCTTCTGTGTGAACATTATTAGTTTCTTATATTTATTATCTTAACTCATTTGATGTCTGCTTATTGTTTTATGCTTCACTGGTATTTTAGTTTTTCTTTCTTTTTTCCTCTATAGAGTATGCCTCTTTTATTTGTATCTTCTACAGGGCTAGAGAAAATGTTCTTAAAAAATGAACTTATCATTTCAATTTAATTCTGCCTATCTAGGAACATAGGAGTTTTTGTCCATCTTCTAGGGTCTCTTCAATTTCTTTCTTTAGAGTTCTGTAGTGTTCATTGAGGAACATCTTCATTCAATCATTTTGATGATTTCAACTCCCTCTTGAGGAAGATGAAGATGTTTTTAATTTCTTTTGTAGTCTTTGTATAGAGCCCCATGTTATGGGTTCAGATTATCATTATTGATGCTTTTTTTTTTCATTAAACATTTGTCTTTCCAAAATCTTTTGCATTTACTTTTTCAACATTTTAAGATGAAAATTTTTAAACATACTGCAGAGTTGAAAGATTTATGTGAAAACCTACAGACCCATCACCTATATCTGCCAGTGTTGTACATACCTATATATTGGTCCAGCTATTAATCCATTTTATGTACATACCTGCACCTGTATGCATCTATTAATTCAACTTATTTTTATTTGAATCTAAAATTAATAGTTTTGCATTCAACTTTTACACAATACATATAGCAATTAATTTTACTTTAATAGTTTTCCATGGCATTGTAAACTGCCTTACTTTTTAATATCGAAATTTACCTATCCTTAAACTCTTACTCTTTATCTCTTGTTTCATAGGAGTGTCTTTCAGTATGTTTTAAAGGAAGTGTACACACAAGGTATTTTTTTCTGATCAGTAGTATTTTCCAGAATGTTATTTTTTGCTATTGCATATTTTTAGCCTTAATATTTTCTTAACTATAATCACTCTCTATTTATCCAGCAGACTTCCCTCATTTTTATTTTTCTTGCCTTTGAAATGAATTTCAAATTCTAAATGAAATCTTTTAAGAATATATGTATGGGAAGAAGATCCCCTATTTTCCAGTACATTTGTACAGATCAGGTGCTGCGAACTGCTTATTAAATTTTACTTTCTACAAATTTATGTATTGTAACTTTTTTCTTTTTGTTCTTTTCAAAATCTTTAAAAATGAGAGCCAAAGGAACATATACTAAATGAAATTACAAACATATTATTATGTGCTCTGTGACTTGCCATCTTAAAAGGCAAAATCCTAGAATACCTAGCATCTTAATGTGTATACTTTCAATCTAAATCTTTTTAGATTGTGTTTTACTCTTTCTTCCCCTTTTTATATTTTTGTTTCTACAGTTGACTCTGTCTTCTATGTATTTTAGACCTGGTGCCCCACAGTTTTATTCATTATTTACACTAGGCCTCCTTCCAAAAATAATTTGAATTTTTAGACAATAAAAATAACACAAATAACAGTAAATCATTAAAACAAAGGTAAGAGTTATGCAATAAAACACTAAGGGATAATTATGTGAAAATTTCAGAAAACACTGCTGATTATAATATAGCCCTGAGCTATCTGTAACAACTAGAAACAAAAAGATGACATTTTTACCATGTTCTCTTTATATAATAAATTATAACATACAAGTTAGAATGCTGATTCATCCACAGAGAAAATGTTTTCCTGTTTGTAAATACTGGGAAGAATTTTTCATATTGTTTTTTAAATAGGGGCTCAACATAAGAAACAATGTACTTGATCATTTCTACTCAAATGATGATAAAGTTCACATGTAGTTATCTTTCAACAAAAATCAAAAGCACAATATTAAATCATATAAAGATGGTTCTGGTGTGCCAGAATGACATACTATGGATTATGGTGCTGGGTATTGAACCTATGGCCTTGTGTATGCAAGGCAAGCACTCTACCAACTGAGCTATATCCCCAGCCCTCATGAAAACACTTTTAACAAAAAATTTTCACAAGTAGAGAGGATTCTGTATGAGGAAATTACATGAAAATATTAGTGTGTTTTTCCACTGATATTTACCAAAAATGAAAAGCTGAAACAGATTCCATTATTTCATTGCTTTAAATAAAGATCATCTATTGTCTAGAATTTAGCTGTTTTCTCTTAGAATGAAAGTATAGGCATTCAGTCCTTTTTTAGTTGCTTATTTTCTTATGAGTCTTTTCTACTTTGCTGTAGCACAGGCTTAAAAATATTTGAATAGGTTACTAGTTTCTCATTAAATTTATGATTATAAATGAGCTCCAGATGCTGCCTATAGGCTGATTAACTGTTCTAGTAAAGTTGATTTCCAAGTTGATTTTCTGCAGACTATGTTACTTAATCTTGTGGAAAGTAATCACATTTTTAAAAGAAAAAGCCCTGTGGTGACCCAATGTTGACAGTCCCTTATATTGTGAATTTAGTGCTGACTGGTAAGGTATGGATCTGTGGTTCAGTATGTCTGGTCCTCAAGGTAGTTGTATGGATTACTCCTTCCATCAGCATTTGGCTATTTGAGCTGCTGTGAAACTTTGGTACATGGTGCTGAACTATCATTTGACTTTTCACATGACAAGAATACTTCATTTACCCTTAAGTCCACCTCTGCTCTTTTCTCATTAGTCTACAGTGATTTAATTGAAACTTGTTTTTTGGTTATAAAATAGTCGTTATTGGGATTCAGAATATGTTGGTATTTATGAAAATGAACTAAAAATCTACAGAAATAATACTTTTAGTTCTGAATATGTATATCCTAACAAATAAAAAACAGCAATACACAAATTAGTCAAAAATTCAAAACTAACAAAAATACATTTTAGAAAATGTTGAAAATAAAAGGACAAAAATCCCTTAGAATTACACAATTCTAACACACACACACTTAGAGAATTAGGATTTTTAGTCTTCTTCTTTTTTTTTTTTTTTTTTTTTAATGCATGTAGACACCTTGTGAAATGTATCATTTCACATTCCTGCTTCCAGGCTGTAGTTGTTCCCATGTACCCTGTCTATGAATAAAAAACAACAGATATTTGTTCAGTCACTCTGTATGGTTAGAGTACTGTAAATCTTGCAAATCACATTTAGAGTACATTTGTTTAAGAAACCATAGTTGTATTATATCAGTGTACATATCTTTAATAATCCAGTGTCATAAAAATGGATGTATTTTAGAAGCATTCAGATTTATTTTAGAGTTACTAAGTTATCTAAGGTGTCTTAAATATTTATCTTTGACATTAAATAATGAAGTACTATCACCTATAAATCTATTTATCTGTTGAACCAGCATACATAATATTAAAGGTTTCAGAGTTTTGCCATATGTATTTATAGCCAAAGAAGATTTTACTGAAGCAGGAAATTACCTAAAAGGATGTGTCATCACTGGAATTTATTCTGAAGAAGATGTTTGGATACTGTAAGTTTATTGCTCTTCTAATTTTAGGGAGGAAGAAGCTATGCAATGGTTTATTGCTTGTCTTTACACTGCTGATCTAGGAAGATAGTTCAGAAAAAATTTATAATTTTTTTTTATAAATTTATAATTTCCCTTCTAGGAAATACTAGGCTATTAAGATTTAAATGTTTATATAGATATATATTTGTGTGTGTGTGTGTGTGTGTGTGTGTGTGTGTGTGTATCCATACCATAGCACCCACAGGGGTAATCTTAGATTCATACTTCATACTCATTTCCTCTTTGGGTTTGAATGCAGTTTGGATTCTTTGGAGGTGTCATAGTTTTTGAGAATTGTACTTCTCTAGCATTTGAGGGTTTTGTTTGTTTGTTTGTTTGTTTTGCTACTGAAGTATATGTTTTAAAAAATCACTTTTTAGTCACTTTAATTGCTTTGTCTGGAAGATGAGGCTCCTATGATAACCAAAATATTGTAGTTGCTTTTATGGTTTGCATATGAAGTATCCCCCAAAGATGTCTGTTAATGCAGGAATATTCAGATAAATGATTGGATTATGAGAGCAGAAACCTAAACAGTCAATACAGCTTGAATGGGTGGTAACTGCAGGCAGGTGTGATATGGCTAGAGGAGATTGGTCATTGGAGGCATGCCCTGGAAGTATTTATCTTCCCTGAGGTCCCTTTCCCCTTCTCTGTGTTTCCTGGCTACTGTAAGCCGAGTAGTACTCCTCCGCTATGCCCTTCCACGATGTCTCATTTGGGCCAAGAGCAACAGAGTTGGCTGACCATAGACTGAACCTCTGAAACCATGACTTAAAGTAAACTTTTTCTCTTCTAGGTATTTTGGTCACAGTGACAAAAGGCTAACGCAGTTGTTGTAGAAAGAAGGACTAGATTGCAAGTTTGGAGACTGTTTTTAATACAATGACATTCTACGTTAATGGTTCATTTTGGGGTACAAATAAACTAGTTTATAAACCCCAGCCTTTTGTCTTTCTTACCTTCTGACTATAATATTCCTAATTGTGATTTCTGAGCTTAAAACTTTCATCTTAAACATTGCTCTTGATGATGCTTTTGTTAGTTCTGTGAAATCAATAATTTTTGTATATACTGAACTAGGAAAATATGAGACCTATCCATCTGATAATGTATATCAATTGCTATTATTTATTGTCAATATGCATTTAATTATAGTCCATAGAATTAGTCTGGTGATTTACAGAGTGTTTTGTTTATAATTAGCTGGTCAACTAAGGTTCCTCTAAGTGATCTAAAGACTGGGCTCGCTAACCTCAATAATATTATATTGTCTCTACTTTGTTGTGGCATGAGTTTAGTTTTTATGTGTGTTACTACCTTATTAATAATTTCCCATTAAGCTTTTTACCTATTCACAAAACTTCCTTTTAGGTGTTGTTAGCGAAAATAGTGGGAGGATGGGTTTGGGCTATTGTGTCAGTGGAGAGAACACGCACTCCATTTGAGTTCCTTATTTTAATTCACTGTCTACTATTTATCACTCTGTGAATTTGTTTTTTTCCCCTTCTAAAATGGAGTGTTATGGGCTACTTTCTGGGGGATATTCTGAGGATTAAATGAAAACCTAACTAAGCTAGTACATTGCCTGGCAAATGGTAGGTTTCTCATAGGTGCCCATCTCCTTGGTAGTATGGTAAGCATTCCAAAGGGGCCACAAGCCTTTCAGTGCATTCTAAATCCTATGTAGTCATTTTCTTGATGAGTAAGTTGTGTGGGGGGAAAGAAAATCTATCTAAATTATTATCTGTTGCTTTCTATTAATTGAGTTTGTCAAGGATCCTGAACATATAGTTTCACATAGAAAACGAGTTTGGGAATTGAGTTAATTTTTTTCCTTGGAGGCAGGGCTTTTCACTTTCCGCTTCCTGCTGTAATTTGTTGGCCTAATTTTTCATGTTTTTGATGACCTGCTGTATTTTGATTGTGAATTTTAATACTACATTTCTGTATAGGTCAAATAAATATGCTGCAACTCTTCCAGCCCTGCTACTTGCCAGACACAAAGAAGGCAAAATTGAGAGCATTCCACTTGCTAATACCCATGTGCAGGACATAGTTCAAATAATAACAAATGCATCACTAGAAACATTTGTAAGTATATTTTATAATTAGGTTATTTAGGATAAAATCTAGACCAATTAAAGTTAGTATACAGTAGAACACAATTTTCCAGTTTGGGGTGGCAAAGGATACCATGTTTTGTGGGCTGAAGATTGATTGGGTGGCTTTGTTTTGTTCATTCATTATGCATACAGCTTTTCTAGTCCACTGCCCAAAGCTTACCTGTGTGGCTGAAGTCGGTTGAAGTCAAACTTGTTACAAAGTAAATGGATTCTAAAGAGTCAGACTGCCTGGTTCTAAATCCTTGCTTAAATCCTTACTGGCTCTATGGTACCCTCTCTGCTCCTAAGTTTCCATATGTATAAAATATAGATTATAGGTAGCACCTGCTGAAGAGCGTTATTGTGAGGACCAGTTAAGATGTATATAGTGCTTTATGGACAGTGCTTGGCCCATGGTAAATATTCAACAGATGTTAGTTACTATTTATATAATTTTAAAACAAACTGTCTTATTAAAGTCCTTTTCCAATGCTTTACTTTGTTTAATAGTGGATTCAAGGGCACAACAAATGTAACCTGCACTACTTGATTTCAGTTGTTTTGCATTTATGTTAAATATAGTTAGAATATTACATATTTATACTCCTACATTTTTAAAGTGGCACAAAGAACACCATTTAAATCAGATAAAATGTTGAATTACTAATTTTCCCATTATGATGTTTGTTTTCATTTAGATAATTGTCTTTAATAAATCTGTCACCAAAATTTTTTTCCCTTCTCTTCCTCCATCAAAGTTGCAGGTTATAATTAATTGAATCATTAAGTTAATATTTTCAGGGTGTAGTTTTCCAAATGATTTATAAAAATAGTAACATGCTTGTTTTTAATGACATGTGATTAAGTAAATACTTCCTTAACATATACATAGTATAGTAACTTTAGATTCTTTTTTTCTCAAAAACAAAAAATAATCAAAAAAATTAGAAAAAAACCATAATTTCTCTAAATTTGGGAACATATTTCTCCAAAGTTTAAAAAATTGCATGTCTTTTTATATTAAGTATATTTCAAAGAATGTAGACATGCATATTGATTTTAATATCTGTTTTCTGTTGTACTAATGTTCCATGATTCCTTTAACCAATTTTCTACTGACACTTAAGTTGTCCTCAAGACGTCTTGATCTTTTCACCTGACAGATATAGGAAACAGCAGTATCCATCACTGATCTTTCTTTTCACAAATTCATATTCCAGTTAGTTACCTTTCTGAAAACGGCCTAACCATGTCACTAATCTGACAAAAAGTCTTCTTGATATTCCCTGGAGTAAGAACTCACCAAGGTATGACCCATCTGGTCTCAGCCATGTTTGCCTCTTGCAGTCTTAAATCAGGGACCTTTCATTTCACTGATCCCAGTATTGTTTGCTTTAACACCTCTCTACCTATCCTCATGGTATTCCCTCCATCTGTGATCCCTGCTTAAGCGTGCACCTCACACTGTCACGAACTTATTCCTTATACAGCACCCAGCTCAAATATCACTTCCTAAAATCACTCACAAGCTCCCCTGCCTTGTTTTTTTAAGCTTGTTTAATTTTGAGCCCATAGGTTTCCTTATTGTCATTCATGAATAATATTTTCAAGGATCACAGTAGTTTTGATAATTAAGTGTCTCCTCTTAACTAATTAATTAGTTAATTAAACAAACTCTGCAGGCTGGGGTTGTGGCTCAGTGGTAGAGCACTTGCCTAACATGCATGAGGCACTGGGTTTGATCCTCAGCACCACATAAAAATAAAATAAAGATATTGTGTCCATCTAAAAACTAAAAAATGAATATTTAAAAAAATTAAACCAACTCTGGACTTGTAACTAATTTCCCTATTTCTGCTATCATTCAGCCAGGGGTCAGAAATATCCTTAGATATTAGTTATAAAAACTAGGCTAAGGTTACTGTCACATGACGTATAGTGGTAATTACTATGCTTACCATATACAGATGATCATCATCTCCAAATATAAGGCAAATCATCTGTGCATAAGAAAAAGCTGGCATTTTCATGTAATGCTGTAAGGGGGCAGAGTACCTCAACAGAGCTGGAAAGACCTGTGGGATACTTAGTTTCATTTCCCATTTTGAAGTCTAATGTAGGAGGAGATCTTTTAAGGTGGGTGATGGGAGTTGGAATTGGGAAGGAATAATGATGTAATGTTTTTGTGTTGGTGGACTCAGCAGAGATTTTTTTAAAAAATTTTTAGTTTTAATGTATCCTTAATAGTTGACTATATTGAATGTGTTTTAATACTTCAATAAATATATGTACCATGTGTAATGATTAAAAAAAATGTCTCCTCTTCTTTGAGGGCAGGGAAGTATCTCCTTTCTTTAAAGATTCAGCACCCAGCATAACATCTTGAACTCTGTAGTGCTCAATACATTTTGAGTTGAGCAGTGATGGCTGTATTGCCTAATGTTTCTGCTGGCTCAATAATATCTGTCAATATTTAGGAGGGGGATATAACTCCAGTGGAAGAGTAAAAGATGATACTTTACACAAGAAACCAAAAGAGAGGAATTTGGAGAAAAAAAGAGATCTAAGATTTAAGTCTTAAAAAAGGAAGGTCTAAGATTTTGAATATGAAATCGGAATGGAACAGAATAGAACAAAAATGAGAATTGGCAGAGAAAAGCCACTTTGAGAACTAAGTAGGGAAAAGTATATGCCAGAGTTTGATGTCTGAGGATGAACCATGTCTGAGATGAATCTCTGTACTCAGAGGTTGTTGGCACAATTAAAAATATAAAATTGTTGTAGATTCTTTTTGTGCTCCAATGGAATGGGAAGCTGATGAACAGGATGCCTGCCTTCTAGTTTCAGCTCCCTCCTACTTAACTCTGAGACTCAAGCAAAAGTTAGCCTCTGTGTGTATGTTTCCTCATCTGTCACCTGGGGCTTGTTTGTCTGATAGGGGATGATTTAATCTAGCTCACAGGTATAGCCAGATGATGAAATAATAGATGTGGATCTAAAAATGGAAAATGGTAGAAGACTTCACTATTTGTAAGTCATGGATATTTTTAATCCTAAATATATTAGCATTGTTATTGATCTAATTCTTTTAACAAACAACCTAGACAAATTGTCTTCTACAGATACTCTTAAAAGTAGTAGCTATTTTTCAAAATGTAACAATGGTAAAACACTTAGAATTCAAATTCCTTATTAAATTCCTTCTTTGAGTTACTTTAAACTCAAAAGGAATAAATTTGACTTTTGGATTTGTTTTAGCATATTTTATGCCCCCAAATTCACAGTCTTGGAAAATGTAAAATTTTATTAATTTTTAAGTAATCATAGCCAGGTGCATTAGTACACCCCTGTACTCCCAGATACTTGAAGCTGAGGCAAGAAGAGTGCAAGTTCAAAGCCAACCTAGATAACTTAGCAAGACCCTGTCTCAAAAATTAAAAGGAATTGAGCTGTACTCAATGGTAGAGGACTTATCTAGCATGTGCAAGGCCCTGGATTTGATCTCCAGTACCCCCCCAAAAGAGAAAAATAATAATAGACATTAAAGAAAAAGATTATATCTTTAAAACCCAGCTTATATATATTTTTAAATTCATTTATTTACTCTAATTTGTTATACATGACAACAGAATGTATTTCAATTCATAGTACACATATGGAGCATAATTTTTCATGTTTCTGGTCATTCCCAAAGTAGAGGCACACCATTCGTGTCTTCATACATGTATTTAGGGTAATGATGTCTATCTCATTCCACTATCTTTCCTACCCGCTCCATTTGCCCTATCTAAAGTTCCTCTATTCCTCCCATAATCCCCCCACTATTCCCATTATGCATAAGTATCCACATATCAGAGAAAACATTCAGCATTTGGTTTTTTCGGGATTGGCTTACTTCACTTAGCGTAATATTCTCCAACTCTATCCCCTTTACCTGCAAATGCCATGATTCTATTCTTTTTTCATGTTGAGTAATATTCCATTGTGTATATATACCACAGTTTCTGTATCGATTCATCTACTGAGGGCATCTAGGTTGGTTCCACAATTTACCTATTGTGAATTCTGCTGCTGTAAACATTGATGTGGCTATGTCACTGTAGTATGCCTTTTTTAAGTACTTTGGGTATAAACCAAGGAGTGGGATAGCTAGGTCAAATGGTGGTTCCATTCCAAGTTTTTCAAGGAATCTCCATACTGCTTTCCATATCAGTAACACCAATTTGCAGTCCCACCAGCAATATATGAATGTGCCTTTCTCCCCACATCCTTGCCAACACTTATTGTTGTTTGTATTCTTAATAGCTACCATTCTGACTAGAGTGAGATAAAATCTAAGTAGTTTTGATTTGCATTTGTCTAATTGCTAGAGATGTTGAACATTTTTTCATGTATTTGTTAATTGATTGTATATTATCTTCTGAGAATTGTCTGTTCAGTTCCTTGGCCCATTTACTGATTGGGTTGTTTGTTTTTTTAGCGTTAAGCTTTTTGAGTTCTTTATATATCGTAGAGATTAGTACTCATTCTAAATAGAGAAAAATTGAAAGCATTCCCTCTAAAAACTGGAACAAGGCAGAGATGCCCTCTTTCACCATGTCTATTTAACATAGTTCTTGAAACTCTAGCCAGAGCAATTAGACAGATGAAAGAAATTAAAGGGATTCTGATAGGAAAAGAAGAACTCAAACTATCACTATTTGTCAACAACATGATTGTATACCTGGAAGATCCAAAAACTTCCACCAGAAAACTTCTAGAACTAATAAATGAATTCAGCAAAGTAGCAGGATATAAAATCAACACCTATAAATCAAAGGCATTTCTGTACATCAGTGAGAAATCCTCTGAAAGAGAAACTAGGAAAACCACCCTGTTTACAATAGCCTTAAAAAAATACTTGGGAATCAACAAAAGAGGTGAAAGACCTCTACAATGAAAACTACAGAATGCTAAAGAAAGAAATTAAAGAAGACCTTAAAAGATTGAAAGATCTCCCTTGTTCTTGGATAAGCAGGATTAATATTGTCAAAATGACCGTACCACCAAAAGTGCTATACTGATTTAATATAATCCTAACCAAAATCCCAGTGACATTCCTCATAGAAATAGAAAATGCAGTCATGAAATTCTCTGGAGAAATAAGAGACCCAAAATAGCCAAAGTATCCTAAGCAAGAAGAGTGAAGCAGGTGACATCACTATACCAGACTTGAAACTATATACATACAGAGCAATAGTAACAAAAATGGCATGGTATTGGCACCAAAATAGATTTGTAGACCAATGCTTCAGAATAGAGGACACAGAGACAAACCCACGTAAATACAGTTATCTCATAGTAGACAAAGGCACCAAAAACATATATTGGAGAAAAGATAGCATCTTCATCAAATGGTGCTAGGAAAACTGGAAATCCATATGCAGCAAAATGAAATTAAGCCCCTCTCACTATGCACAAAACTCAACTCAATGTGCATCAAGGACCTAGGAATTAGACCAGAGACCCACCCTGTGCCTAATAGAAAATAAAGTAGGCCCAGATATTTATCATGTTGGATTAGGCTCCAACTTCCTTAGTAAGGCTCCTATAGTGCAAGAAATAAAATCAAGTATCAATAAATGGGAACTCTGGTTGTGGCTCAGTGGTAGAGTGCTCACCTAGTATGCACGAGGCCCTGGGTTTGATCCTCAGCACCACATAAAAATAAATAAATAAAATAAAGGTATTGTGTCCAACTACAATTAAAAAATAAATATCAAAAAAAGAATAAATAGGATGGATTCAAACTGAAAAGCTTCTTCTCAGCAAAAGAATCAGTGAAGTGAATAGAGAGCCTACAGAATGGGAGCAAATGATTACCAGCTTATATTTTTAATAAAAAATTTTGTTATATTTTTTCTCTGAGTTTGATTTTTTTATATGTATATTGACCAATCTAATCCCAGATTTTAGCATATGAAATTATTAAAAGTATTAAATTAACTTATTCTCAAAGTAATTTTATTTTGAATATAACTCATTAAGATGAGTTGAGATTGAATAAACTCTGGAGAGTCATAGTTATTAATGTGGCTCAATCTCTATTTAAGTGAAAATGTGTTTGAATTATATTTTATGAACTAAAATTGAGTGATTTGAATATTTTCTATTTTATGTATTATCATTCCCATGCTTTGGGTTTTTTTTTTTTTTTTGTTCTTCTCTTTTAACAGCCAGAAATAACTGTAGAAAATCTTCCCACTTATTTAAGACTTCAGAAACCATTACTTATTTTGTTCAGTGATGGCAGCATAAATCCTCAGTATAGAAAAGCAATATTGACACTAATGAAACAGAAACACTTGGATTCTCTTATTCCTTGCTGGTTAAATCTGTAAGTATATTTTCATTTTTTTATATGTAAGAGATAAAGTATAATTATTATATTTTCATAATGAAAAGGAACTCTATAACTTTGCCTTTGGAGTTAATATTAATGGGATCAAATATGTTGTCATGGTACTTTAGTAACTAACTTCCCATAGACAAGGTCCAGTTTGACCTGTTTCAAATTGAATTTTATTCTGTAGTGTGTGTGTGTGTGTGTGTGTGTGTGTGTGTGTGTATTCCTGGAGACTGAACCCAGAAGTGCTCTACCACTGAGCCTCATCCCCAACCCTTTTTAAATTTTAATTTTAGACAGGATATTGCTAAATTACTAAAATTAGCCTCAAACTTTTGATTGCCCTGCCTTAGCCTCTGGGAATACAGGCGTGTACCACCACTCTTGACTACAATAATTTTTTTAACATAATAATTTTTCTGATTTTAAAAGTAATTGTTGTCCATTGGAAAAAAATTGGCAAATACAAAAAAGTAAGCATTGTGATATTTTGTTCTGTTTTCTGTGTTTCTGTATTGTTATAGTCCAGCCATAATGTTATGGACAGATTTTAGTACACTCATCAGCAGTACTTCCTGGTACATTTGCTGGATGTATGGCTTGTGTTACTTGAAGTGTCTTATATCATAAGTGTTTATCATATATAACCCTTTAATTGTTGAACTGACATGTGATCAGGTACTTGGCTAAACTTTCAAAGGAGCCTATTGACTGTATCAAACCTAAGCTGACAAGCCTTCACAATATGTATGCTTGTTTTGAAAACTGTCATTGACTGCCTTTTTTCCTTGTAAGAGAAAGAAAGCACCTGTGTTAAAATTTAAAAAAAAAAAAATCTAATTATAATGCAATAGTCATAGACCTCTTAGATTTTAGAGTGTCTTTTTATAGAATAAATTTACTGGCATGATACTAATTAAAGTTTAATGTTCCATAACCTTATTTTCATTTTTTGTGATAGAACTATTAATTAATATTTTCAATTGTTCCTCTTGTAGGAAGAACACTCCTGTGGGGAGAGGAATTTTGCGGGCATATTTCAGCCCTCTGCCTCCTCTTCCTCTTCTTGTTTTGGTGAATCTGCATTCAGGTGGCCAAGTATTTTCATTTCCTTCCAATCAGTCTATAACTGAACAAAACCTTGTGTTATGGCTTAAAAAGTTAGAAGCAGGACTAGAAAATCATATCAGTAAGTTTTTCTATTTTGTTTAATACACTCAATTCTTCATTTTGTTCTGTTGATTTTTAAATTTCAATTGTAGCTAATGAATACTGGTATGTGTTGAATGGTGTTTATAAGTATCCTAAGTATTAATATGCTGATAGCATTGTCCATAGAACAGTCTGATTATGAGACCAAGGTGAAAAGCCTCAGTTGGGGACAGTGGACTTATCTACTAAGCAGTCAGCTCACCTATTAAATCTCTCTTTTCTCTTGAATTTTAATTCTTGGAGTCTATGTTGCTCCTATAGATTGCCAATATCTTCAAAAATGATTTTTGTAATTTATCCAACTTAAAAAAAATCCTTACCATGGAAGCACTGACCTACCCAAGCCTAAGTCCTTCTTGCTGCTTTTTTGAAGCTTAAAATTGTTGATTTCACAGATACTTCTGGTATAGCTTTTTCATATAAATGCCAGTTTTTTCTATAACTATGGGCAAAAATTTGTGGTTTTATATAAAAAGGACACTTTAAAATAGTACAGTATTATCATATAAAACTCTAGTTCTAAGTATTTTAAGAAGGTGTATCTTGAACTAACTATCTCTCAGTTTCTCCGTCCACATTTGTTGTTCTTGCTTTTGTTAATCAGGTGGGTCTACCCTTTTGGTTGTGGTGTACATGGCTTTTACACTGTAATAGGTAAATTACTTCATAGAAAATTACTGTTGGCATAAAAGTCATAGTCAGTATTTATTACGCATGTGCACTTTTCCCGGCATGATAACATTTCAGTGATTATCTGATTTAGTCTCCTTATAACCCCAGAGTTCTGGTTCTGGATATTGTCATTATACATTTTTTTTCCAGATTAAGAAAATAGAGGTTAGTAGTAACTTGTCAATGGTAATTGAACCAATAATTATCAGAGTAGGGATTCAAACCAAACAGGCTAACTTCATAGCTTCTACTGTTAATCAAATTGCCTAATGAATTGAATGCATAATTGTGCTTATTTTATTGAATCTTCAAGTAACCATATAATTAAAATCATCTGTGTAGTCATCAATATCTCCATAGATATTCTACCAAATCTATACACATAAATATCTGAGAAAAGCAGTTTGGCATAATGAAGTAATATTCTAGTAAATACCATTATTTTATATTTAACTTGGATAATTATAATAATAGCTAACAAAAATGCATTTTATTAATTATTTCATCTAACTATCACAAAAAGCCTGAGGTAGGTATTACCTACAAAAATCTGTCTGTTAAATGGAGAAAAGTTAATTTCTCTTATGTTATCAGCTTTAAGTAGTTTTCCTTTTCTAATGACCAATATTTTAAAATAATGTTAAGATTCACTTCCATGAAGCTCATCTGAAAGAAATAATCCAGTAATTGTCTACACATAGTATAGTCAACTCCATAGCAATTTTAAATTATTCCTATCTATAATTATTTTTGTAAAATACACTTTTCATGAAGTGTATGGAAAGGATCTTAATCAAAACCTGTAGGAACAGAATATCCTTTATCTTGTTTTGGTGAATCTGCATAAGATATAAGGCAACACTTATATCAATACAATAATAATATCTATATATGTTCCAAATGTTTTTCTGGAATGACTCATGAGAAATAGTTACGATATTTGGAGATTGAGATTGGAGTTAGGAGGGAAGTAGGAGACTTCATTGTAGTTTGAATCTGTGTGTACATAATCTTATTACATATATTGCTATTTTTGAAACCCCAACAAGGATTAATTAGCAGTAAGATTATGAACCTTTTTTCCCCATTAACGTTTATCGCTATATAGAAAATAATGGCTTGTAAATATAATGTAAAATAAGACATTAGCAAGTGATAAATATATCAAATTTCCTAATCACAATGGTATTAGAAATACCAAGCTAAGTAAACTAATAAAGCCTTCATGCCTACAAATATATTTTTTTCATATTTTTCTAGTATATTCATGTGATGATTTTATAGATGATTTTATAGTTAGTCATTAACCCTTGGCTGTGTCTTTCTTCCAGCAATTTTATCTGCTCAGGAATGGAAACCCCCTCTTCCAGCTTATGATTTTCTAAGTATGATGGATGCTGCAACAGCTCCACATCCCTCTAGGAAAGAGCCTGAGTGTACGAAAGAAACAGATGTGCCAGAGAATGACAAGGAACAGCACGAAGACAAGTCCGCCATCAGAAAAGAGCCCATTGAAACACTGAGAATAAAGCACTGGAATAAAAGTAACTGGTTTAAAGAAACAGAGAAATCCCTTAAGCATGATAAAGAGTTATGATGCTCAAAAGTAAGCTAATTTGATAGGGCTGTCATTTCCAAAGTCTTTTTAGCTTCTTTGAGAGAATTGAGAATTTATTTAATTAAGGAATGATACTAAATCATGTCAAATAGACCAGTGCCATCTAGTAGAATTTTAATGCAAGCCACACGTAAAATTTTCTAGTAGCTACATTTTATATATGTATATATTATTTTTTAGTTATATATGGACACAATATCTTTATTTTGTTTATTTATTTTTATGTGGTGCTGAGGATCAAACCCAGTGCCTCACATGTGCAAGGTAAGTGCTCTGCCACTGAGCCACAACTCCCACCCTAGTAGTTATACTTTTTAAAAACTAAAATTGTTTTAAAAATGTCTTTCACCCAGTAAGAATACCTAAAATAGCTCAATTAATATAAAAATCATTGATAGATTTACTTTTTTTTCTTTTTTAACCAAGTTTTCAGAATGCAGCATGTATTTTACACTTAACTGCTATTTCACTATGGAGTAGCCTGTGTTTCAGGTGCTCATTAGCCACATGTGGTGGGTGACTATTATATTGAACAGCTCAGTATTGGACAAAACCTAGTATAAGCAATTTAACTTAGTTTTACCCATGGTATATTTTGGGATTAAAATTAAAATGCGACACTAGTTTAATCACAGCTCCTCCGTGGAGTGATATATCATGTTGTTAAAATCAGTGTTTCTCAACCAGGATACTTTCCCACCTCAGGGGACATTTGGCAATGGCTAGAGACAATTTTGAAGTCATACTTAGGGATGGTACTGGCATGTAGCGGGTAGAGATCAGGAATGCTGTTTAATATCCTACATTGGGCAGCACCCCCCTCAAACAATTATCCTGCCCCAAATGTCAGTAGTATCAGGGATGAATAACTAACTAACCTATGGCAGAATGGACTCCCACATTTTCTGAATCCTCTCAATTATGTTTAAAAAAAATGTGGATATTAAAGATAAGTATTAGGTGGTCTTAATTGTTATCTAGATACATCCTTATAAATTTATTTTTATTTTTTCATAAAGTAATAAGGTAAACTCACAAAAGACTCAAAATTGTGTGTGTGTGTATGTGTGTGTGTGTGTATGTATTTAGCACTATAAGCTACAGATATAAGTTTTCTGGAATTCAACATATTGTTATCTCCTCACAAAAGGAGAAGCTCCCTATCTGAGCCATGTCTGAAATCTACTACCCTTGGACAAATCAGTTGATCTCCCTGGGCCATAGAGCCTTGTCTTTATAATGAGAGGGCAGGATTGGCCAAAAAACTATTTTTTCCTTTCACATCACTTACTGTTGGGCTGATTGTTTGCAGCAGCTGTCTCGTTGCTCTCCATTTTGCAAGACATTGGTTGAAAACCTCCAACCTGGTGACCTACTGTATTTAGAGTATCTCATTTTAAAGATTTTCTCCATGTGTGGCATGCTCAGAACAACTGAATAATTGGAATTTTACAGTTAAATTTTAATAAATCTGTATCTTTCACTGTACTATTTGCCATTTTCAGCAACCCCTTAGTTTACTTCCTATAGCATGGGGTGCCTTACTAGTTTGGTTTCATTCTTATATACTTTTCTAATGTGGGAGATGTCAAGAGTGAACTCCAATATTGTTTTTAGTAATTAAACATCATTCTTCATTTAAAAATGCTAATTATCTATAAGCACATAGAAACATGAAATTGATTTATCATTGTATCATAACCAGTGATTTGGATACACATTAATAAATATATATATATATATATATATATATATATATTTTACAATTTTAAATAAAGTATTTGGATTTCAGACCACCTTTCAAAGCTTTCTTTGACCTCCATATGCCCTTTATTGGGCCACCTACTTTGTATCAGTTGCATGTCTTTGGTTCCAAGCAATAGAAATTCAACTTTGGCTAACTTAAGCAAAATGGGAATGTGAGTAATATACAGAATTAGAAGAAAAATCAAACCAGTCTTTGAAAAGACAGGAATCAAGGCTGGTATTGGTCAGGACTAAGAGCTCACCTGGTATCTTCTGAATCAGCTCCATCTGGTATCTTCTGTGACTCAGGAAAGTCAATGAGTCCAGTCCCTCAATTAGAGAAAGACAAGACTCTTGTATCAGCAGCCCTTACAAGACCTCCAATGCAAAAGAGGAAAATCTCACCAAAGAATTCTCAGTTCTGTTCACCAGAAAAAGGGGAATAAGTGTAAAGAGGGGAAAACACCCTCTCAAGACACGACCGTGCTTCTGACCTTTGTATCTTTTGGGGGTCTTTTTGCCATACTTTTCACCAATTTTTGAGGTCTCTGGAAACCCTCTCTGTACCCCAAGTGGTTTCAGTTTCCCTTTGTGTTCCCCTAGTCCTCTAATAGAGCTGGGGCCAGTGCTTATGAACATTCTTCATGATATTCATCTCTCAGGGGTCAGATTCTTTCACCCTGTCCTGCCTCACCTGTGCTACAAGGTTAACATTTTTCATCCACTGCCTTTGGCCCTTGTGATGATGTATCATGAGGGCTGTTTTTCAGAATTCTTGGCATTCATCACTCAAACCTATGCTTCTGTTAAAAACTAAATGTGTAAGCTGAACAACATTAGTTTACAGAGCAGTGTCTGTCTTTAGTAATAAGAAGTAATCAAATAGGCACAGCTTGAAACTTGTGTTTCCACCTAAGGTTTAGTAAGCTGCAAGATAATGTTACTATCATCCTAACAGAAAAAATTCATAACACATCAGAGAAAATAGTTCAATGAGTGACAAGCCCCTTCAAAGAGCAACAGGACGCATGAACTCTTGTCTTTGGGAGAGAATAGGGTGCTGCCACTGAAGCAAGTAAGAAATTCTAAAATACTTAGGAGAATCTAAGATATTTCTCCCACTTGCAGGTAATTTTGACAGAGATTGATGAATCAGAAACAAAGGATTTTAATTATTTTCACCAACAACATTAATCATAATGTCAGCATTTGTGTTGGCTTCCTGACCCCAATTTCACAGTGTGATGAAAAGAGAACCAGTGACACCTGAATGCATGGTGGGTTGCATTGCAAGGAAGATGCCCTAAGCTTACGGAGCCTAAATATTTAATAGTGGGTGTTTAGCATGCCCGCCCTTTGCTCTGGAGAGAAATAGCATTATTATGCTGGGCACTAATCACTGTCTCTTAGAGGGAGATGCTGTCTTTATCTTCCCAGTCTATTTAATACAGATATCCCTGAAGTTAGTTCAGAACAAAGGCAGGCAGAGCCTCCACTTGCATATAGTGCAGACCCATGAAAGACCCATGGAGAACTATCTTCTGAGAGAAATTATTGAAGTATTAAAGAATTTTCTAAAAAATTGTGTAAAAGATGTTAGTTGAGAATATGTGAGGCACCCTTTCATGAGAGTAGCTCGTGTTCACTGAGGACCTACTTTCTATAAACCTTCATGGGGTGCTAATGAGAAATATTGGGGCAGAAGACCAATGGGAATGGACCTTTTGGTGATGCAGGCAAGGAGCAGGAGATTGATCAAATATCTGGGTGACAGGTATGAAATAGTGCCCATTTTCTCTAACCTCTCTCTTATGCAAAGCTGAAGCCACCAGTCACTGGCAAACCTCCCTATTCTAACTGCCAAGCAAAGATTAACAGCTTCTCCCCACCCCCCAAGGAAAGGCAGAAAATCAAAGCAGAGATAGAGATACACTATCTCTAGAAGTAGTGCAGGAAAATCTGTACAGGGACTCCAAAACCTGTATATATTGTTACAAATTATGATAATACAGTGACAGATCTCGAGAGAGAAGTGATACTGAATAATTATGATTTGAGGACTATATAAATAGCAGTATAAGGTAAGTCTCACTAAGACATGAAGGATGAGATAGTTCAACCCCACTCTGGATCAGAAGAAAGAACATTTGAGATACAGAATGTGTCTAAGAGACTCGGGAAAGATTTTGGTTTATTTGAAGAATACCAATGTATGTGGCATCCAGTGGCAAGAGGGGAAGAGAAGGCTATAGAACTAGGAAGAGGCAAAATTATGCAGGGTTTTGGAACCATGGACGGCGAAGCAACTTGAATATTATTTTAAGGGCATCAAGCAGCAGGGAAGTGGAGGTTTTCAAGATGGTGGAATAGAGAAGTTCACTTTCCTGGATTTCTGTGGTGTAAAACTAAGAAAGCATATAGGCATCTTCTCAGCAAGGTGGGTGAACAATAAACAGGGTGGGGGAATTTAATACTGGACATTCAAAGCAGATCCGGGAATCAGGAGGTTTGGACCAGCAATTGCTGGGCCCTGGAGGTGCACTGATTTGAGATCTCCAGATCAATTGGTATTCAGTGAAGATGCCTTGGTTAGACCCCACCTCCAGGAGTTCCATCTATGGAATTACCTCCCTCACCCCAGCAACCCCACCCTGAGGATTGAGTAAGCATCACACTCCATACAACCCCACCTAACACTGCTGAGAAGGAAAGCTGAGAATCTTTTGAACTCCACAAAAAAATTTTTTTTAACTTTTCATTGAAATCTTTTTTTTTCTGTTTTCTCTGTTACCTTAATGATTCATGAACATTCATACATATTCATATGAATCTTTCTCATATCTAGCATTTTTGAAGCCAGTTATTTTTCATGAATCACTTTTTTGAGGACTATAGGATGTTTTATTACTATATTTCCATTTTGTTTTGTATTTTATTTAATTTATTAAATTTTTTTTGTAGTTGAGGAGAATGCTTTTGTTTATTTTTATGTGGTATCCAACCCAATGCTTCACACATGCTAGGCAAAGTGCTCTGCCACTGAGTTACAGCCCCAGCCCTTATTTTTTTAATTTTTTAAAATTCTTACTTTATATATAGCTTTTTATGTCACTTATCTGTTTCTCTTGATTCTCTTTTCCTCAGCTAACAGACAATCTCTATTGTTCTCTCACTCTTCCTTTAATATTTTTTTACTTCTAATCTTCCCTCCTTCTCCTCAAAATCATCACATCCTATAGTACTTCTTTTCTCTCCCTGTCCATCATTCAACATTGTAAACCATTTTGCAAACTTATTGATATTATTGTAGGCAGTAACTACTCATATCATTCCGGTTTATTGTGACAATTAACATTGTAGACATCATAGCAGGAACTATTTAGTTTAATGCTTTATATTGTTTGTATTGGTTGTTGTAATTATTTGTGTCCCCTTAAACAGTGATGTATTAGAAACCTTCAGGACACTCACTACAGGTCCACAGGGTAGAAATTCTACTGCCTCAGATCTATAGTGTTAGATGGGTAGACACACAAACAACATGAAAAAGCAAGGAAACAAATTGCCCCAAACAAACCAAGATACTTTAATAACAGAATCCATCACCACCACAATGGAAGAAGTGTCACAGAAGGAATTTAGAGTGTACATAGTTAAACTGATCTGTGAGGTAAAGAGTGAAATCAGAATACAGGAAATGAAAGATCACTCTGAGATAAGAGAGATTCTGAAATAAATCAAGGAGAAATTCTCAAAGGAATCAATAAATTAAAAATTCAATGGAAAGCATCACCAACATACTGGATCACTTGGAAGACAGAGTTTCAGGCAATGAAGACAAAATATATAATCTTGAAAATAAAGTTGACCATGGAGAAAAGATGTAAGAGATCATGAACAGAACTTCCAAGAAATATGGTATAACCTGAAAAGACCAAATTTAAGATTTATTGGGATAGATGAAGGCTCAGAGATACAAACCAAAGGAATGCACAATCTTTCAATGAAATATTGGAAAATTCCCCAAACCTAAAGAATAAAATGGAAAGTCAAACACAGGAGGCTTACAGGGCCCCAAATATATAAAATTACAACATACCCACACCAAGGCACATTATTATGAAAATACCTGACATACAGAGCAAGAACAGAATTTTAAAGCCTTTCATAGAAACATGACAGGTTACATTTAAATGGAAGCCAATCTGAATCTTAGCTAATTTC